ACAAGACAAATTTTTGCAACTCTTGCACTTAGACATAGGTATTAATAGAGCTCGAAACACACACAGGATTGTTACAGACCACTTAATACAGAAATAATCGGAATTCTCAGGTGCTTTTCTCCCCTTGTTTGCAATATAAGTCTTTCCTCCTCTCCTAAATATGTGCTTGCAGTATCAAGAAACAACTAATACTTGACACTGACTTTCACTTTATCAGGACTTTATCCAGAAACACAAGCAAATACAGAAGCAGGTTGGTTTTTTGGGTGGATCCCTCATCAGGTTTGAAATCAATCACAGACCTGGCAGAAATTCAAATTTCTAAAAATCACCTGTTGGAATTAGAAATGTTTTTCCATTTTTTTTAAAATGCATTTTCTTGGCAGAGGCTGCGGATTAACTCAGCTATTCCTGTTTTATAGCAGGTTCATGAGGACTAAGGGCCTTTAGTCAGACCTACATCACAGATGTGAACATACGCAGCAACTACAGGAAAGTTGCCATAATACTTAGGTTGCCTGAATCCCATATCACAACCGTTATATGTCAAGGTGACACTATCCTCCAACAGTTTAATTCAATTTGGGACACAGAAATGCTTTAAATATATTTCTAATTATACTATATGTTTTAAATATATATTTTCAAATGGCGGTGTAAGAGTAAGATTCACATAGATACAATGATAATATACATTGTAGCTCTAGAGAGCCATCACATATATATATAAAACAAAGATTAGAGTCTGAAACATAAATACCAAAAAAAATCAGAAATATAAATAAGTGGGAAAAAAAAGAAACATATAAAGAAAATGAAATGTTATGAGTCCATTTAAGATTTGCAGGGTATACAAAGTATTTCCAGTTGTGTGACTCTTGGGTTACATTTTTTTTCCCACACAAATGAAACGACAACTAAAAAACCCATTTCAGATCACCGCCTCACCAACTGGCTAGCAGGTGGGTGAAGTGATTCTGTCTCTCCTGCTTGAGTTGAGAAAACTTTCCATCTGCTTTGTATCTGAATGAAATGTTCACAAATGTGAAGTAATACACAGTGGACTAAAAAATAATAAGCTCAAGAAGAAAAATAATGAACCTGATCAAAAGTGGAAGAACTATGAACTCACTTCCACCCTAAAGATATCCAAACAACCTAAGGACTCTGTTATAAAAATGAACATCATGCTCAGAAAACAGGAAAGAACAGCAAGACATAAATCAAACAAAAATATCATGAGGTTGTGTTTTAGAAAACTGCGTGACTTGTACAACTTGTGGTGCACTGAGTTCTGTTCCTACAGCCCTTTACAGAGCTAGGTAACTACGAGTAGCCTAAAGGCCACAAAACACCCATGTGTCCATAACCAGTGCAGGTCTTGTTAGCAAGAGCTCAAGGCGGCCACCCAATTAAAACGTGAATTTTGACAGGTAAGAAAGAAATCAGCCGTATTCTGTACTTTACAAGGAATAGGAAAGGAATTTTCATGCGAACTCGAGATGAAACACAACACCAGGAAAGGTATTAGGAAATGTTTGCTGAGCTGAAGTTACAAAACCGTTTTGTCAACCTAAGGTTCACAAGCACGTAGAACGGTCTGCAAAGGGATGATCAATAAGGATAAAAACTTGCCCTCAGGTACCAAGAAATTATTAGATGCCATGGAGTGGTCAGAAGGGATAGAAAACTGAAAACGAAATACAGAATTGAAGGCTTTGACTCCCCCCCTCTGATCCTATGAGGCATTAGTGCAAAACGTGCCTGGGCTATGGTCTGGAATCAGACGTACGGTCAAGCACGTCCTTCAGTCGAAGTCAGTAAGAGTAACGTGCCAGAGGACAGGGATATCCCATGCACCTCCAGCAATGTGCTTTTAGATAGGACATGACAGCGCTGTGACTATCTTAAACAAACATCAGCTCTAAAATCTGTAAGAAGAGACAGGCTTTGCATCTGCAACAGACATCGGTCAGGTTAAACATTTTTCCTGACCAAGTATATTCTGAACGCCTATGAGCATATGGTGGGCATAAAGCTTTAGCATTCTTCCAGTAGCACCACAGACATAGGTAAAAGAGAGCTGGGACCGCTATAATTTAGATTAATTGCTTATTATGGGTATGAGGAGAGGTGCTGCGGGAGTACTACAGCCTCAAATAACAACTGAGAGGAGCCATTTGAGCTGATGTAATCCCCTGAGTCCTCGGGGCTGAGCTGCAGAGAGCTTCACCTCCGCAGCGATGCCTGTCCCTCTCCAGCTGCCGACAGCAGAAGGATACGGGCAGGGATCTGACTGCACGTCTCCTTCTCGAGGAGCTGCCCTGACTCACCGCCTTCTTATATCAGTTACATATTTCTGCACATAAGGCTACAGCGAGACCCAAACCCATTTTAAGTCTGGCTTCTCATTTTTCTCTGTCAGTCTGTCAGAAAGCGATGCTGGATCTATAGCGCTCAGTCCCTGGCCAGCAGCACCACCGGCTCCGGCTGCAGAAGGAGTGCAGGTTACCTGCCGGCAGTGCCTCTCTGCAGGACACAGAGAGGGTATGGAGCTGGCTGCAGCTTTTCAGCCAGGTCTGAGGTTTGAGATTCGTACGTTTTGGCAATGGTTACATGAGGGTGATCACAGATTTCTAAATCTGCATATGACTGCCCAGCACTCTTCATGTTGTCATACCTAATTCTCAGTCATACTCAAGTTTAAGGATCGCCTGGGTTGGTCTGCAGCCACTGAAGCGGGGAGTGTGAGATGGAGAGATCTTGGATCACACATTCCCTGAACTGCAACAAATGCTTTCCCAGAGGGGAAGGGCTCGGGCTCACCCATGCCGCTGTGCCCACCACCCGGACCCCACAGCCCTCTGTCTGTCACCAGGGAGTAAGGAGCTGCAGAGAGGGAGAGAGACACTGCACTGCTTGGGAATGCACGGGGTGCAAGGACGTAGCAGCAGAAAGGTAATTGGGAAGGAAGGAATAAAAATCACCTTTGACATTCCTCTCCGCAGAAGTGTGCTCCGTATCAAAGCCTGCCATGAGGAGTATTTTACCGAGAGCCCACCTAAAGCAGCTGTCAGAAGTCCCCTACCATGTTAGTAGCCTCCTTCCTTCCCCAAGCTGTGCCAGGAGCAGAGAGCACGGCATCGTGGTATGGATGTGCAGCCTCTGCTGCCCACGGCAGTGAGGTATGGAACCAACCAGGAGCAAAGAGAGCAAGAGAGAGCAATACTGCACTGCTGTGCTCCTGCTCAGAACCCAGCAGGGGCAAACAGTACTCAGACTGAATCTGGTCTCCTGTAGAGGTTATCAGCTTTTACTGGCTATGAAAAGGTAACTGGGAATGATGGTTCAACACTGTTTTCAGCTCTGCTGTGGTTCAACTCCCTAACGGGAAAGACAGTAAACCGGGAACATATTGCGTCTGTTTGGAATGCAAAATACGCAGCACTGGTTTCTGCAGTCAAATCCCCAACCCAAAACATGAGAGTCATGATTCCCAGCATCCCTATTCAGCAGACTGCTGCAGTACATCCCTAGAAAACAATCATTTATGCCAATCATTTGCCAAATAGGGATGCAAGACATTTAGAAGAAATGTGCTTGATTAAGAAGACAGTGTTTAAACAATTTGGGTTTTTTTCTCAAAATTTTGTTGTGGTGTTTTGTTTTGTTTTTTTTTTTTTCTTGTCTTCTGCTACCTGACAGGTAACCTGTGCAAGTAGTCTTCTCTCATTATATATTTTTAAAAGCAAAGCCCATTAGGACGGTTGCCTTCCTTCTCCTGTCTCTGCTTTCTTTTTCTTGTCTCTGGAGTGGCAGTAGGAGACAATTAGGAGGGCCTGCCTCTAGCTCAGGATGCAACACAACGCCTGGGGCCAGGAAAAAGGAGACAAGGTCCATGTCACGGGCACAGCAGGCTGCGGTATCAGCGCAGCTCTTCCCACCGCCTTTGCTCCATTTCCCTTCTGTGCCTTCCCATTTGATCGCTGTGGCGAGAAGTGTGCTGCGTTACAAGTAAAGGTCTGGGAGGAATGTTTTGCTGTGTTCCTTTTCGAAGCTCACCTCGTGTCAGATTCTGGTCTCTTGCCACTGAAAGACCCTCCAAGACGTGGGTCTGAAGGAGCAGAGTGCATTTGCGAATGGAGGATTTTGCACGAGCATTCACGCTAAGTAATTCTACATCTTTTACATCACTTCAGTAAGAGTATGACATTTCGTGCATTACATAAACCACTTAAACCCTACTTAACCAAAGCTCTTCTTTCACCACATCCTCATTATGCCCTTAGGTGTCAACACATTCTTCAGTTACTCTCTCTCAATGAGATAATTCTTATCTCATCATAGTGATGTTCCAAGAGTGTGTTGAATAACCAGGTTTAAAAATGAATATTTTTAATGCAATTAGGAATATTGAACAGGTTGGAAATTAATTCCCAGTTAACACATTGATCTAACAGGGAACGTAAGTGCATTTTTAAGTTCGCGAGTCCTACCGAAAGCAAAGAGATTATTCATATGATTAAAATTAAGGTGACTTGTCAGAGCAGAACATAAGAGTGTAGGATATGTACTTGGACCCAATTCAGAAAGATACTTAGGAACATGGTTAGCTGTAACCTATGAAACACTAAGCACTTAAAACACCACCTAAGGTCAGACGGGAAAGGAAGATCGCACGATGGCCAAATCTGTCGTCTGTGTTTTTCTCACAAACGTCTCCTCAATCTTACAATGGGTTTCATAACCTTAGCATAACAGCTTTTCACAATTTGAATAAATAAGAGCAAATCATTAATAAAAATAACAGCAATAATAGTAATAATATTAAATGCTTCTCCTGAAGGGATAGTCAGAAAGCTTTCTCTAGCCTTCAAGATTACAAACAGCTACAGTTAAAGGTTGAAGAAGTGGGTGAACAAAGCAAACAAATTCCAATTATGGAAGATGAAGAAATCAAAGACATTTATTTATGTGCAATGTAAGATCTAACGTGTCACCTTGCCGCCGCATTGGTGATTATTTTCAGACTGCTGGGATTACGGATCAGCTTATCCAGGATGCTGACAATCTGCTCAAACTTGGGTCTGTTGTTTCTGTCTTTCTGCCAACAGTCCAGCATCAGCTGATACAAGGCAGCTGGGCAGTCCATAGGAGGTGGCAAGCGGTACCCTTCATCAACAGCCTTAATCACCTGCACAAGGAGAAAAGTTTTTGAAAACTTAAAAGGCACTTAAATAGACTTGTATTTATCAGTTCTGTGAACCACGTGAACATGGACATTCTGTGTTTAAACAAATGTGTTTATTCACTAATTGTCTTGTCGTGCAATGCCTCTGGTTTATCTGCAAAGTAAACCAGGCAGTAAATTAGGCATACAGAAAGTGCAGTCAAGATACAGTATGTGACTTTGAGGAAGGTGAGAGTCTAGAAAGGATCTCCAAAACTCACACTTGATTGAACTAAATCCATAAACAAAAGCTACAGTTAGTAAGGTGCTTGCTTCGCTACGCCAAACTTCAAAAGGTCTCAAATCTCTCTCGTCTGATCACTCTTAGCAACACACGCTTTCCACATTCTCCAGTGGACACCGCACTTGGCAGAAAACCAGCCTACCCTCTCACAGGACAGCCTGAACTGATAGATAGAAGGTCTTGTGGATGATCACACAGGGCTAGAAAACATTTTTAGAACTTACCACGAGGATAACTGTACAGTTCCTACTAGGCAGTGCAGGCCCAATTCTTTTATCATTTGTCTAGATTGACAAAGTTTGGCTAGATTGTCTATCATTTGTCTAGATTGACCAAAACCAAGTTAGTCCAGAATTCACACTGTTATGAAGCTTTTTAATACAGCCTTTTCACTAGAGTATAACACCTCTTGATCAAGTCCTACAGTATCTATTGGACCATGAATAAAAAAAACACTAATGCATTCTAAGCAGAAAGTGACAAAGCCATATTCTGTTAATCTTTCCTTTTTATCTGGATCAGTTAATTAAAAGCAGGATGAACTGTTCTGAGTCAGAACAGGGATAGGAAAACAGCCCACAGTTTAAGCAGTCATAAAGCAGAGGCACATAAATAGGTTAATCCTTCTGTTTCTGATTTTAACGTGATATTATTAAAGGCCTTCCACTAGTATATCAGCCTATGTAACACAATTCATTAATCTGCACAAACAATAGAAAAAATATTCATGACTAATTAAAAGAAACATAGTTTTCTGCAGAGACTTGAGTTCCAGATGTACTCATTTGAAAGGAAGTTCTCTTCTCTTTTTCCTTGTTTAACATAAAGCAGTACGGAAAATGTCTGACTACAACTATGTTAGTGACTTTTTAAAATTCAGTGCTAGTAAATACATGTACTGACCCCTTGGAAAATCTATTTGTGTTAGTGACTGTACTTCAGAAAAATTTGGTTCATAAGTAACTCCTGAGGAATAAATCTAGGATTAATAAGACAACAGAAAAAGAACCCAAAATAGATATAATAAAAATCTTATTTGGGGAAATGTTATGCTTCTTACAAAAGTCCATTAGTCATTGGGATTGCAGGCTTGGATAGTTTACTAATATTGCAAAGAAGCCTGCATTGGAAGTCTTCTAATCAGATCACTCTACTTCTCTATTTTATCCGTTGATTACTTCCAGAAGTATTTTGATTTCACTAAACTCTTAGTAGAAATGCTTTGCTTCTCTTTTTCACACGCGCCAAGAGCAATTTATTCTGTGTATTTGACATTTGCAGAAAACTTCTACAGAATGTTACACAAGTGGAACCAAAGGAGATCAAGAGAAATTTAGGAGGGATTTCTAACAATAAGCTAAGAAATGTAACAGGCAATGACCTCATTGCAGTGGAATTGTTTGAACCCTCCTACAGAAAACCACCAGCGTGATAAAATTCTCTAGTATGTTCCTTCCGAGGTCCGAAATATCTTCTATAAAGATGCTGGCTTTTTGTTACGTTCATTAGAACTTTTACCTGATGAGGGAGATTTGGAGATTCTCATTTCTACATCTTATTCAATGTCAACGTCAAAAATTCAGAGCCACCTGGTTTCATTATGCTTCGCTTCCTTTCACAGCTTGATCCTTTATTTGAGAACATAACTCAGATAACAATATACTCACATCCTGGTTGGACATCTCCCAGTACGGTCGCTCTCCATAAGACATCACCTCCCAGAGAACAATCCCATAGCTCCACGCATCACTGGCTGATGTGAACTTCCGATACGCAATGGCTTCCGGCGATGTCCATCGGATAGGAATCTTGCCCCCCTAAGAGCAAAACAAAATAAACCAGTTCATTTAACTGTAATACAATGAACATAATTTTGCAAGATTCGTTATTTTATCTCTGAGATTCTCAATTATCATTATATTGGTGTAAAAAACAATGTATGCTGGAAAATGCTATTGCCATTTGTCATGAAAGCATCTGGTACATCATAGACAGTAAAATACATTACAGTGCAAAATCCACTGAAGCTATGGATAAATAGTATAGTATACGTACGGTATGCATGTACATATACATACACACACAGATATATATTTTTGTGTAGCATAACATGCACAGATAATAATAAATGGTAAGTTAAGTATTTTCAGTTATAAAATGTTTGGAAACCAGCAAGACAGCCACACAGCATTACGGATGCAAAAGCTAGCACGAGGTCCTTGCTTATATCCCAGATCCCTTTGCACAGCACAAGAGGGCTGGATTTGACTATTTGTAAGGCATTTCAAGTGAATTCCCTGTTGGCACGGAACCTGCATGGTTTCACCACGTTTTCAGCCCACGTTTTCTAGGACGTTCAAGGAAAACGAGGGGCCATGATGTCGCTCTGTGTCACACTCTCTGTCTGCCAAACCTCCAATTGCACAAGGTGGTGACTGTGACCATCTCTACAAATTTCCCATTCCAAAGATGTCAGAGACAGTCACAGAAAGATGGATTCAGATGGGGTCATCCGTACAGAGGGGAGAGTGCAAAAAGGTCATCTGGGGAAGTGGTCTTCAACATTTTTTCACAGTCACAAGAGAAGCAAGCCATCATTAAATGATGTAAACTTGAACTAAAGTTACCATGACAATTAATACTGCAGTTAGGGGAACATCTCTCTCAGATTATGACCACCACTTGGTGCCAGAGGTCAAATTAGTAAAATGCACACAAGCAGCCTCAGGCCGAGCTTCTGTAAGATGAGAATTAGAGGAAAGAGACAATTTCCAACGGTACCAGCTTTGATAGAGGCTTTTAAGACTCTGATTTGCCAGTCACATATTAGAAAACAAAGTTCTAAAAGACAGCGGTGCAAAAACTTGATACTTAAGGTAATTCTGGAGCTAATATATTTGAATACAGAAAACTGTGAGAGTTTAAAGGTGTTTCCAGTTCCAGGGATGCACAACATGTACAGGCTTATATTCTAAAGATTTCACACTAGACTAGCTATTTAAGGTACCTCTGCAACCCCCATTATCCTACAGTCATATATCTATCCTCATAATAACCTGTGTGGGAAGGGAGTGCTCTTATTTCCATTGAATAACCAGCAAGAAACAAAATGAAAAGATATTAATGCTTCGCCTACACTTCCACAAAGTGTACCTGCACTGAGGGTAGCCATACACTCACCAGCTTTAGATTAACTAGCTTGGTTATCAATAGAAATGCTGACATTAGCATTAATTAGAAACCTAAATACAGTCTAAATACACTGCAGCGTAAGCATCTGCAATTTCATGGCTAATATTGCACAAATTAGATTAATATAAGCAAAACAGGCAGGCCTGACTCAGGCTACAATTTAGACCTCCAAAATGTCACTAGCTGTGTCTTAGAGACTTGGCAAAGGTCATAGAAGGGATCTATCTTGGCATACAGGTTTTATGGAACCCAACCTATTTAGCAGACTCCCTGTCTTAAGGAAAAGACAAATCTTCATTTCACACACAACCCTTAAAATTAGGTAAACACTGAATTTTGACATTACTTGTGGACCAACAAATAGGACACAGAAAATAAACAGTATTTGAAAGAGGATAGCCTGGTGTCTCTCTCTTGGAAATCTATAAGATGACATTCTTCAGTCACAAAAAGTACTTTGAATTTTCTATTAATTATAAACTTATAAATTTATTCACAATTCCCAGGGCTGCTCCATACCGAGAACATGAAAATGATTCTTTTTTTCTCATGCTCTATGGACAAGCAATATTATACCCCCATTACAAATGTCCAAGGTCTCTCAGTGAGTCCTAGGCACGGCCAAGAAAGTTAATCGTATCTTTGTATTTAAAAGGGGACTTTGCTGACTCATTTTTTGAATAATTTAAGAGCAAGAACAGCAAAAAAAAAAGTTCTGGTAAATATTTTTAGACAAATAAGCATTTTAACACAGAAACAATTGCTCCCAAAGGATTACGCAACATTCACATTTTAGCAGATGTCCAAATATCAATATATGCAGACACTCTGAAGAGTTGTATCAAACCAAATGCATGGTTTTCTATTGCTATTACCTTTGCAAATTATTCCAATTACAGCAAGCCTTATAGTCTATTTTGAAATTAAAAAAAGTGATCATTCAGCATTAGAAAATCCCTCTTTACTTCTCCACTATTTTTGAGAAATACACATCTCATTTGAACACATAACACCTCTTGAATTTTCTGCTTCGCCAGAAATCAAGATATTCTTTGCAATATCCTTTGCTAGGATCAAAGATATCTTACATAATTTACCTTCGCATAAATTAAACCACTTTCTCCTAGACCACAGAGTTGGAACTGGGAAAACTAAGCTTCCATACTTGTTTCTTTATTCGCCTCTCATTTTTTAATCCCTTTCCCCAGTCTCTCAACATTTAAAATGAGCATAATGATACCTGCTCTATAAATTGCTACGATGAAAGTGCTAAGAAATCCTACCTGTTTTTTATTTTTTTTAAATTATGTATTGTATGTCCATTAGGCTTCCATGCAATTTAATCTTCTTCTTCTGCTATCTCTGTTGCTCATCCTTCACTGGAAAATCTGAAACTCTAATATTATTGGCTGATATTACTGGGCTCCTACCCTTCAAAATTAGTGCTATCAGGACTGAACATGTAAGACAAACGTGCTAAATGAAAAATCATTATAGATATGCCCAGTAAAAAGGTTTGCTCAAATCTATTTGATACAGGCTTATAAAGAGAAATCTATATATGCATGCATCACTAGCTATTGGTAATGTATTTAGCGATTATTTTCTGAAGATAAATACAGGTTTCATACATTTTTGTCAAGGTCTCCCTTTAAGGGCATGCTCATCATGAAGCCAAATAAGCAGCCTGAATTTGAGTAGAAAGAAAGCATTAGTAGTAGAAGTTGTAGGAGTTTGTTATTGTAGCTCAAAATCCCAGGCAGTCTAGGTCAGAGAACCACTCTCGCGGTTTGAAGTTAGTGAGCCAGCAGTAACCAAAAGTTTTATCTGCTCTAGATGGAGCTGTGATTCCTACAGTACCGGGCCATTCAGCATAATTCATCTAAAGTAAATGAAGTCCTCAATTTATTTCTAGCACGTCTCGCACTCCAGCGCAAGCCAGCTGTTTCCAGGCCTTCATAACCCATTCCAATATTCTGATTTATAATCTGTTACAGGGTGACTGCCACAGGCACCTAAGCCACAGGCCTGGGGAGAGGTGAATCAAGAAAAATGGATTCTAACAGCATTATTAGAAGAACTTTGCAGGAAAACCTGAAGGTAAAAATCTGACACTAATTCATTACATGAGGACCTAGGCTAGTTCAGGAGATATCTTACTGGTACAGAACAAGATGGTTTCATGTGAGTGAGATGAGCTTGATTTACACTCTTAAGCACCCGAAAATTACCGGATGCTACTTGCTCGTCCCTGACTAATAAATAATTTATCTCGAAATTTTCTCCTTCTTGAGTGGTAAATGATAACAGAACACTGTTTCTCTCCCTCATGCTTATCAGGCAAGAGCATTTGTGGTTTTTAGTTTCCTATTTCACCACTGCTACCAATACACTCGGACTGTATTACTGTGTTTTTGCATATATAGAGTTGCAATATATATATATAAAAGTTGCAATAACGAGGGCATAACCGAAGGGACCTGTGTGCCCTTCCCTGTGGCCCATGATGGAGCAGTGCCTTGCCGTGCCCTCCCTCCTCTGGCACCACTACCCAGGGGCACAAGGCTACCAGAATACTTGCCATCAAAGCATAATATTTTTGGAAATGATGCAGATTCAGTGAGAAGTTACCCACGCACGTATAGTAACTGGACAGTAGTTTATATTGAAATGCCACGAATATCAGTGATGGTTCCAATTATGTGCTTAAATAGCCAAAGTCATCTACTGATTGCCCAAATATTATGCCTTTGAGAGATATAATTACAGTCCCTCTACACATGTGATGGCTTAAATTTTCTTCCACTTCATAGTGTGTCATTAGTCCACCCACTTGTCATCCAGATGTCTAAAAATAATAAGAATAAACCAGATCAATTTGACAATGACAATTTTAATACAATCTTGGCCTTTCAATTAAAAGTGAATAGGTACGGAGAATGTAGATAATTACAGTACATCCCCCCCAGCACAAAGGCTCAGTAAAAAAAAAATAAAACCAAACACTCATTCAGCCTGATTCACATGCTGGCTTTTGCTTCTGTAAGCAGACAGACCACAGGCTGCCAAAGGCCTTTTGTGGTATAGAGCTGGTGACAATAATTCAGGCGGTAAAAAAATGACCCTGTCAGGTAGCAAAGTTTTCTTACAGCTCCCAATTCCCTGTATTTCACATATGCACCTGTGATCTTTGCATTGTCCTTCAGAGCTCTTGTACAATAGCATGAATATCACAGATTATGCATTGATATATAAAGGGATATATACATTATTGATATATAAAAGGATATATGTTCATATCCTTTATCCAAAGCTTCAAACACGGCTTCCGAGAACAGCACAACATAAAATTTCACCCAGTCAGCGATGTGTATTGAAAGCCTGAAGGGCTGACTGGGCTTCTTGGGGGCAGACCAATCCCAAATTGCAATTATGAATTAAAGCAATGGAATTGTTCTCAGGCTTTGACATTTACAGGTGGAAAACAGCGGTAGAAGAGGAGGCTAAAGAGATAAAACATCTATCTTTGCAACTAACTCTATACATTTCCCTAGTACCACTGATACTAAATGGAGAACTGGGAGTGGGAAGAGCTGGAGGGGAGGTAAAAGTTTCTGTCCATTAACATAATACGCACTCTTTACTGTTTGAATGTTTGGAATTGTGGTTATAAATTGGATTTTTTTTTGGTCTTTTCAAAGATCTTACTGCGTACTTGTCATCCTTTAGTTGTAAAGGCATGACATTATTTGGGGTGATGCCATTATTTTAAGAAGTGGCACTATTTTTGTCTCGGTTTTGCCATATAATTAGCGCTTGCAAAATGCACTAGGAGCAGCCTAGGAAGCGGTCTTGTGTTTGTGACACGACTAAGCAGCAGGAACGTGAACTGCCCAGCTTTCTGCCAGTGGAGTGGAGCTCTGTTTCACATTCGTGGTCCCCTGTTATTTAAGCTGGGGATCAAACATACCCCAGGGACCACCACCCCGACATGTATACAAGATTCACTTCAAAGGAAACTTGAGCAAAAAGATGAATAGCAAATAGCCTTGTCCTTCTCTCAGAGTCAAGATGTGGCAGAGGTATATTCAGTAACTACTTTTGAAGAAAATTAGATTTGTCCTAGGTTGTATTTGAAGGGTTTAACTATCTAAGCATCTTCCTGCAGCAGTCTGCACATACACCATCAATGTCAGATGGAGTTTACTGAACACAGATGATTACACTTTACAAAATAGTTTCTTTCCATCTGATTTCACTATCTAAATGTGAATAGGCAGGTAGGCTTAGAAAATAGGTGGCAGGAGGACAGGAAGAAAAAAAAGAATTTCAACCCTGCACTTGGCCAAAGGAAATTCACCTGTAACACTAGCTGGAAACACCAACACCCTGTGCACCCTGGTTTGTCCGAGTCACCCACGGATATAAGTCACTGATGTATGCTTCATTTTCAAGGAAGCGTGCTTCCCTTATAAAGCTGTGTGCTATGCAGTTTGATGGGGAGCTACTTTTTCCTCTCTCTACAACTTTTTCATCCAAGTTAACTAGGTCTTAAAGGTATCTTCAGTTCTTAATGTGAGTACACAAAATGCCATTACTAAATTATAGACTAGTTTGCATGCCCAGATGAATTGTGGAATAAGAGAATTGAACTTTGAAGCCTGGCAGAAGTATGTGTCCGAGCAGAAGAACACGTGTTGGGGGTGGAGGAGAAATAGAGACTTCTCACCCATGGAGATATTAACAGAAAGGGCATGTACAAGAAACATGAGATAAATATGCTACGCTTGGTGCTGGGGATTAGTATCCCGTTTTGGACACCACATTTAAGGAAAATGTAGTTAAGTTGAAAAGAATCTGAAGGAGACAAGCAAGAATAGTAAGTTTCGAAAAATTGCTTAGAAAATAAAAAACCAGAGAGATGCATGTGAAGAGGACAGCAATCTCCATGCACGTAAGCAGCTGCTTTAAAGGGGAGAATGATCACCTGCCTATGGGCAGTGGTGGTAGGACACAGAGTAATCACCTTAGCTTGCAAGCATACATCTTGGGGGAGGGAAATTAAATATGAAACTTGATAAATACTATATCCAAAACTGTTTACCTTGGGGATAGTAACACCTGTTACTTTCACAGGAGTTTTTAGGAAGAGGGGAGGCAAGTATATCTGACAAGGCAATACACCTCTGGCTCAACTACAGACAATTTTCTCTTGAGGAACTCTTGCATTGTGTTAACATTTACTTATTAATGCTGCACCTATACTGAGCATGAAAACGGCCTTCTCCTGCTAATGTCTAATGTCCTGCTAATATATTAAACATGTGAGATCTCTGCAGAAAGTTTTCTAAAGTGGTACACACTGCATATTTCTAACAACACGCCAAAAGTTATCAGAGGTCAAAGAAAGCACTGAAAGGTCAACTAAAGAATAGAATCTTTATGCCTGGTAAGTTATGAAGGTATGATTGATAAATATGTATCTATAAATATATGTCTATATAATGTATATATAATGTGTAAGAAAACAGCTAGGATTTCTTCACCCATTTGTCACATGCTATTTTATTTCAATCGTGAAGAAGATAGCATGCAAACTACTGCAAGAATTGATTGCTCCTGTCAGTGATCGAGAGTGAAGGAAGCCCTAGAAAACCCACATTAAGATTTTGCCGATACATTCTACTCTAATCTGGTTTGCACAGTGAAGAGGAGATGATTACTAGCATCAATGCAAATTACACTTGACTAAGATACTGGATATTAATGCCACCTTTTCTAAAGTTAATGAAATCCACTTGCAACAGGATTAAAGTGAACAACCAGACATCCCAGTGTAATACCTACATACATAAAGCTAAACGTATGCCTTCAAGGTTTCCACAATGAAACAGAAGTGTTATTCGAGTGAGAACAGGAGATGCAGCAAAACTATATTTAGAAGACACTGTAGTTTTCCTAAGGCTCTAAGCCAACACCATAGCTTTTGGGTATCCAGGCAGCATGAAATTCAGAAAAAAACCAAGCAGCAGCCTACGCTATGGGCAGTGCCCTATCCGATAAAGGCTTCTCTGCCTCAGGACAAAACAGTCAGAGGTAAGTCTCCTCCTTGATGTAATTACCTCTCCAAAACATGGGTACCACTTTGTATATGTGACATAAGAAGGAGAAAGTACGGGAGGTTTATTACATCGTGAAGCAAGATTTCTTTTTTTGTATTACTCAAGTTTTTACTTGGTTAGGGGTACAACGGCAGGTATAATTGATACACCCTTGCAGAACAGTGAGATCAGTATGCTCCAATCAGACATATGTCCTATCATACTGGAAGACACAAAAAGGTAAAAAATTAAAAAAAAAAATATCGCTGGGTAGGATTTGTTTTTACTGGGTGGAAGCTAAATCAGTAGTGTAACGAAACCTGCTCAAAGCACACGTGTCTTACATTATTGTGTGCCAAACCAACTCAGGCCTTAATTGTGATATTCACTCCTTTACACACCCAGCAGAAAGAAACTGAACCAAGAATTTTGCATGCTTTAAGAAAATAATCTACCAAGAGAAACAATTTTTTTTTACCTTCTATCTTCTCTGAGACATGAGTTAAAAAATAGCTGTGATGAGTTTATGGTTTGTTGAACATCTCTGGACATGTAAGACTGGATGGCCTCTGCAACTTCAGAGACTGCCTCAGATTTCAGCCTAACTTTGTCACAATCAACAAGAATTTTAAAAGGATAAACACACACAGAAACTCACCCTTGTGGTGTAAGCAGCTTCCGGGTCATCTTCCAGTACACGAGAGAGACCAAAATCTGAGACTTTGCATACCAAGTTACTATTGATGAGGATGTTACGAGCAGCTAAATCTCGATGGACGTAACCCATATCTGACAAATATTTCATACCAGATGCGATCCCTCGAAGCATGCCTACTAGCTGGATGACTGTGAACTGGGCATCATGTTTCTGCAAAACATTTGAAATGTCATTTCAGAGACTGTTCATGTTCTTCCTTGAACAGAATTTTTGATGAAGACCCTGGAAGCTCCTCAAGTGAAGAGCTTGTGAGTCAGGAGTTGTGATTTAAATGCCACATGTGGAACTACTTTGATCTGCAGAGGATAATCTCCCAATCAGCTGAGGGAAGGGGACAGATTTTCAATTCAGACAAAAATTCATTTTTCCCAGTCTTGCTGTCATCAGAATTTTAATTTCCTAGATGGTATCTGTGTGAAAACAGCACATAAATCTAAGTTGTGTGTGCTCCTGAGACTGGAGTGTCAGGACACTGGAGAAACAGATGTCCAACCTCCCTGAAAGACCATAGGAATTGTTAGAGAAAATCCCAGTCTTACCCAACGGACTAATGAAAGTTTTCTATTACACAGGCATTTTTTTTTAACAAAACCAAAAGCCAATCTGATTCAGTGGTTCTCAAATTCCCTTAAATTTAAACTCATTCCTCAAAATTTTCTTCAACTTCAGGAACACAAAAATCACTTAAACATGCTGTGACTTAGCCTAAAAACCAATAGTTGCACATATTTCCAATTGCCTACTTCTAGACACATGTTTTAAATCTCCCAGCTCTTACTAATGCTGTTTGTTAACATCTAGCTTTGATATTGATATATAGATACATAGGTGACAGGACAACGGTACGTCCTAGCGCAGCTCTCAAATGAATTCCCCAATGCTGTAAACGTATCATCACAGGCAGCTTTCCAGCTCTTCCTGCTGCTTCTTCCAGAATTTTATTAAATACATGGGAGCTGGCTCTGCCATGTCGGGTGAGCTCACACGAATCAGTCTGCAAGACTGAATGCATTCATTTCCCTTTTGATTAATATACTTAGGGGCAATATTACCACTGTAAACATTAGACAAATATATGGCACAGCGGATGCTTAAAGAGCCTCCTAGAATTCCCTTTCACGAAGAAATCCATTATTATAAAAGACTCTTAGCAGTTCCCTGTTACGAAAACTTCTTTAACTAGAACCAACACAAGAGGATCTATATAGACCCTGGAAAAGATGTAGCTAGAAATCAGAAGAAGGTTTCTAACTACGAAAGGAATGAGATGCTCAGATAGCCTTTCAACGGCAATGAGGAAAACAAACGAACTAGTTTTAAAAGGCATTTATAAAAAGAGTTATATGGCCTGAATTGCCTGTGATATTAATGAGTCACAGGGTTTTTATCTATGTTTCCATACAACAGTAGTGAAGAAAGAAAAAAAAAAATCATACTCAAATGAACAAACAAGCTGAACAACTGTTTTGTACAGTCAGAAATTATTCTCCTTTCCTCTGAGCTTTCTTCAAGGATTTTAAGCCTAAACAAAATATATATAGTTCAGTACAGATATATTTCATTCAGATATACTGACACACTATTTATATGTATTTTACATGCTCCAGTGGACATCATAACATACATAGTACATACTGAAACTAAGGTTGACAATATATCCCCTTTTGGGGTTAAACGTCTACTTCAGTATTATGAATTTGGGGGATAATGTCATTCAACCGTGGCAGAACCAAAGCAGTCTCCCAGCCACAGCTGAGTTTGCCCTAACAAATTAAAATTAAACTAGTGTTTCCCCTCAGATGGGATTTCATTTCTGCTACATTTCTTGTTTTGCCACAAGTAAATCTTGGTGATACAGGGAACGATCCAATTTTTTTAGGCTCGCTACCAACTTTGACAGAAAACAAAGATAAATCAACAACAGTATTAGTATGTCTAAGGTCAAGGAAAGAAAACAGGCCAATAAAGTTTGCTAGCAAAACACTTCCAACACCCTCAGGTGTGAGGCTATTCCCTAAACTTTTCATACTTAAGGAAACAGCTCTTGGCTCAGTACTACTGGTTTACTGATAAAATTTCCACAAATCCGTTCATTTTGGAAATCGCTTGGTAAGTTGTACAGGCTGCCACCCAATAAGCATAACTGCATTACAGTAGTAATTCAGCCCTCAGCAAAACAATTTTCATTTTTATGTGTCAGAATGTTGTGGGGGTTTTTTTGTTTGTTTGTTTTTTTGTTTGTTTGTTTTTTTTGGTTTTTTTTTTTTTTTTATATATATATATAGATGTGACATACCAATAAAAACAAAGTTTTCCTCATTTTGGAATAAAGCTTACTGCAAGCAAGTCAAATTGGACTAGCACATCCCTACCTGGCTTTCTGAAGCACATCACAATGCACACAAAACCAAATGGAAATAACAAAATATCAAACAGCAAGAGCTGATGATGAACGAGAGTAGAGTGGCAGCAAATTCAGAACAAATTCACAAGAGCCAGTTCTGCACCACCTAGTTTTCTATTGCACTTACCCGTAGGAAGCTGTCCAAGGAACCATTTTCCATATATTCAGTAACAATCATAACTGGCTTACCTGCAAGTAGATTACACGGGTCAGACATTTAAAATGAATACATAATGATCAGTAAAAACAAACATTTCAGAAACGTGCCCAAATCTTCTAAATGTCAAGGATAATTTTACATTTAGAAAGAAAGCAAAAGATGCATGGGTGACATCAGCTCTGTCCACAACATAATTGAGATTCCACTGGCATCAACAGAAATACAGTCACTTCAGCATAAACTGACAGGATTTTTAGCAGCTCAAGTCCCAAGAAACAAAGTGAAATATCCTGCATTTTCAGTATATGGTGTCTTATCCATCACCATTGCACATAATCCTTCAAATAACTGTTGAATTTATGCAATGAAGTTGGCATATTCTGCCATGCCTTTGCCCCCAGGTTCCCTCTGGAAGGGAACTGGGCACTTGCCGCGGAGGGAGCTGCAGTTTCTCTCAAGGTGCCCACAACGGAGGTGTAAGGACTGCAGAGAAGTTCTCTACCGCATGGGCACAATCGATACATTCCTCAGATACTACGGTAAGGGACAGATTAAATAGCATATGTGGAGGCAACAGTAAAATCCCCTCTCCCTCAGGAGAGCGTTTACAACCATGGAATCACAGAACCGCTTTGGCTGGAAGAGACCTCTGGGACCATCGAGTCCAACCTTTGCCCTAACACCCCCATGTCAGCGAGACTATGGCGCTCGGTGCCACGTCCAGTCTTTTCTTAAACACCTCCAGGGATGGTGACTCCACCACCTCCCTGGGCAGCCCATCCCAATGGCTAACGACCCTTTCTGGGAAGAAATGCAGTTTCAGACTATGCCCTCTTGTCCTGTCACTGGTTCCCTGGGAGAAGAGGCTGACCCCCACCTGGCTACAACCTCCTTTCAGGTCGCTGTAGAGAGCCATCAGATCTCCCCTCAGCCTCCTCTTCTCCAGGCTAGACTGCACTCACAATGCATTTATACTACTGAGCTTCAGTATTTTCCTAGCATGAGCTGAGGAAAATATTGGGGCGGGGATTGAGATGGAAAGGAAAGCGCAGAATAAAAGTAACACAGGGCAGTGGAAAGAAAAGCAGAGTTGGAAGACGGCTATCTTCCATGGCTGGGGGTTAGCCCTCTTTCCAGACACTCTTGCCTTCCTCTGCGGCGGGATCCCTGACACCACCAACCTCCCCTCCCGCCAAGCACCACGGAGCTGGGGGCTGAACACGCTGCATCCGCGGGGCAGCGACAAGTTCTAAAGAAACAGCTCTGTATCCTTGAAAAGCCTCTAGTATCTTTCAAAACTTGTCCACGCCGGTTCAGATCAGTTTTTGAAACTGTACTTTCTACCCTAGGGTATTTTGTAACATAATCAAGATTTTATATGCAACTCTGACATGCTGGAGAGAAATGAATGCAAAAATTAATGTGATTACGGTGAATTTTCCAGACAAAGGTCATTGCCCTGCTAATATTTTACCATCATATGGCTTTTATTATTTCATAATATTTTCTAAAGCTTTGTTTATTTTCTCTTTGTGGTAGAGAGAAAGGTGGGTAAGAGCATGAAGTTATTTAAGGAGATGAATTATTATTTCACATATAATACAGGAAGGCATCTAACCATGAAAGCATGACGAAGGTCTGCGTATTGTCTAGCAGGCACAGTGACATTTTAGCTTTTAAAACTGAATGGCATGAGGCTTGAAAGAGGTATGCAATATAATGAAAATAAAACCATTTAAAAAAGCAAAGTAAATGGTAACAACTCCTTTTTTGTTTGTTTTTCAGAAAATGCAACTTCTACCAAATAGAAATTCTTAAAAGAGAAATATTAATTTCAAAGAATGAGTTTAATTTAATGAGAAGAAAAATCCTTTGTCCTCTTTGCATGGATTAATGGGTTAAAAGATCTTCTTTCTGCTGTGCAAATGATGTGTTATACTGTGGGAGTCACAGTAATGGGTAATCGACTCTGTCATCCATTAACCAGTAGGAACAAACTCTTTCTCCAAAACATTAATCTTGAATTATATAGGATATGGTACAGATAAAAGACCTAACAATGTAAAATCTCAAAAAAAGAAAAAAAAAATCTGTTGCTTGCTTACTCTTGTTAGCAAGAAACATGCAGTGCAAGGAAAAGTACCTAACTCACCCTGTGTGCGCAACATTAACCCAAAGGCATTTCTGGTAACGCACAGAAAACGCTCCTGGATCTTTCAAGTAAAGGGCAGCACACCGTTGGGGCTATCCAAAACTTTCTATAATAAATCCATGTACTTTGAAACCAGGGGACAGTTGCCTGGTTTCTGTATAAAGTCAACTTTATGACACATCAGAAGACTGAAATTAGAGTAAGAAGATATGTCTTTCAAATTATTAAGAGAGCATCTTCCTGCCTTGCTCATCCATACACAGAAAGCCCCAAGTGCAGGGTTTCACTCTCATTCAGTTGGAAATGTGTCTGTAATAAGAAGCATATGCGCTGAAGCAACACTGTGCACTTTTAAAAGAACATTCTGCATTCATTTATCAAAGCCCAGCCATTTACACATGATAACAACTTGTGTCAACAGTGTTGCCGAAATTTATTATACTAACAGGCTACAAATTGCTGTAAATTATTAGTAAACTAAGCAGAACATGCGTGCTGGTTATTAAGGCTGCTGCCTACAGCATGCCCAGGAGACCGGCGCAGCGGCAGGAAAACGCAGAACAGAAATCAATGTGAAGCAGGGGAACAACTCTGCATTGGAGCAAAGGAGTAAAGTCTGATCTGGTGGGTGCACCTCCTTCATATGGCCCATGGATTGTCCCACCGGCAAACCAGAGCCACCCCAACTTGAGAACTTCTCATACCAAATGGCCATGTTACAGGGATTGGGACAATTGAAGTTATTAGGAGTAGCTTCAGAAGATCTGCTTAGTATGAAAAGCTAGATCATTGCTAAAGGGCTACCTGTCAAAAAGAATTTGGTTAATGAAGAAAAAAGTTGTATCACCTGTTTATCATGCATTACTTCTACTGACAGTGATCCAGCAAATACTCCACAGGCTCTCTACTGACTGTACATAAACTAATGCGTTTGAGTGTGATTTAATAGCTATCATTAAAAAATATGAACACTTGCTAATTTGTTATTACAGTATATTGGTTTGGTTAAATAAAACAAAATCCCACAACCCTCTTGTCCTTCTATCACCCTACGGAATGTTAAAGAAAATAAATTAGTATCTTTACTTGCATTTATGCCATATAATTTTACCCAGTTAAACGGATACAAGTAGTTCCAGAGCAGTTTTCGCAGCTCCTGTATTCAAGCTGTCTGGAGGAGAGCTGCTGTATCCCTGAGGCTTTTATTGACTTCAGCTGGGAATATTCAGAGCTTGCTCTCTCATACTTAAATGTGACAGGCAGCTGGCACTCCCAGGACCCCCCCCCAACAGATAGCAGCCTGCTGTGAATGCAGCAAACTTACTAACCGTCACTTGTACAGAATACAGAAAGAATTAGTAATGCACATTCAAAAGCAATGCACAAATTCCTGCATGCGCAGCAATTAAATGATTTTCTCAAGTGCCACAGGAATACAAAATGCAACAAAATAGATTTTAGCTCAGCTGCGTACAGACTGACGATGGCATTTCAAGTAATTTTGGGGACTGCAAATCTTATTCTGACTGTACAAAGTGTGTGTCATTAAAAGGCAGGAGGTAACTTGGATTTACACAGGCAGACCTGCCAGTCCTTTCCTAATGGGACTGTGAGACCTAAGCTGAAGAATAACTTCTTTGTTATTTAAATCAGCAAAAAAGACTTTCATGAATCATACCTAGAGAAAGTATTATTATTGCAATTATGTCTCTTCATAACATATAGCGTTTTACATACCTTTCACTAGTTACTTTTAGACACATTCTCACGGTTATTTTATTTCATGTAATTTGTTGCAGTAAGCTATGAAATTCTTTCACATCTGTGTGTTTGTGAAACCTTGAATTATGCAATTTTAAAAAAAGATTCCTTAAAACCAATAAAATCATCTACTTAACAACAAAGGATTTGGTATACTTCTACCAAGTTAAACTGGGAATGTCCTCAGCCCATTCCAAGCCACTCACTGAAATGGCAAGGAGCTACTTTGCCAGCAGAGCCCTCTAGGATGAACTAGGAAACATCCTACTGATTTTTTCTACTCCCCTGAAAAATCTCAGAGCATTCCTGAATTTTTTTTTTTTAAGAATACCTCATATAAAATCTTCTCGATCTCCCACCTAATAAGCACTGCAGGTAGATACATTGATCATTAAATTTATCATCTTATGCTGCAATGGAAATTTAGGAAGTGTAGGTGAAGTCTCTGACTTCATGTCTTGCAGAACAAGCCAGTTTTGGTACTTCATGCAACCTCTCTCTTCTTCTACCAGCTATTTCTGCCTTTCTACCTCAAGGTAGAGGACAATCAGCAGCACAAGAAAGGAGAAACAGAACTTGCCTAAATGAGGCAGCATCACCAGCACCAAACCCCACTAGCTGCTCCTAAGGAGAAGTGTATGCAGGATCTGGGTGGCTTTGAGAAGGCTACGATGGCTGCCATGGGAAAACTGGGCAAGAGCTCTAAGACCGACATTACGGTTCCCAAACCTGTTATAACTTGCTGTTATCTTAACGAAAGTGGAGCTGGAGAGGGTTCTTCAAATAGGTTACTTTTCCAGGAAGGTACCGTATGTGGATGGAGGTTTCAATTACTAGTTTGTCTCAAAAAAGAGAAGGTGATTTTTTTATCGTAAATATAGACAAAAATACGCTTTAATAAAAAAAAAAACCCTAAACCCATAACAAAAATATCCAAAGGTAGATTTAAAGAATGTCTATGAGCAAAAATACATATATTATCAAAGAAATAAAACCAATTTTACTACTGACAGCATAAAGCCTCAAGATTTTTTTTGAGATTTTTACTGAGAAGTATAAATTCTGGAGGATCAGAATCTTTAAAATACCTCATACTGGCACATACTGAATATCACACGGAGTATTGTCCCTGCATGAAAACCACGTAGGAAAAAGTTTGGACTTATTTATTAATTTACTAGTATCAGTGGCTGTAGCCAGTAGGCTGTTCATTCATTTGTGCTAATGACAAAACCTAATGATTTAGTTGAAAGCCCAACATACCGTTCAGTGCAATTAGGAAACCTTAGGACATCAGACTCCGTGACTCCTAACAGATTATCAGCAAGTGCCTCTTGGCCGCTTTGTAGCAATTTGTAGCTCTGGAGTTTATTAAACCTGCCAGTTTATTACTGAGCTGCAGTGTTCTCCCAAAACGCTTCTTTTCCTTCACGTTCTCTGTACTTTTTTTTTCAAGTAGACTACTTTTATCCCCCAGTTTTTCCCAGCTCACCAACCCCGGGTACTGTTGTCGGCAGTTTGAGAGCAGCAAGACACTGAAGGTCCCGCAGCTGCACTGCAGGCAATTGCCTCCGACACCTTTCTTCACTGGATCCATCAGCGTGGGTTTCACTCGTGCTTTTCATGCCGGTAATTATTTTTCCCACTTTTGAGGAAATACAATATAAATTGCAAAAGCCAAGCTATGTGTTTCTACTGTTACCTCTTTTGAAGGATACATATGGACAGGATTATAACATAAAACATTTCTGGAAGGGTTTGCAGAGCATAAACACGAGTGATTCAGTTTTTAATTTGCTTTTGCTCTTCCTTGAAAGATCAGGGAAGCACAGAATAATTTTGGTTGGAAGGTACCTCCAGTGACATTTCTCATGCAAAACAGATGCCCCCATCACATCTTACTTTTAGTGACGACTCCCTCTAACCGAATGATATTAGGGTGGTCAAACTGCCCCATGATGCTTGCTTCTCCCAGGAAGTCCCTTCTCTGTTTTTCTGTGTAGCCAACTTTCAGGGTTTTGATAGCCACCGAAATTTCCTTTTTAGAAGGCAGCTTTAGTCGTCCACTGCACACTTCTCCAAATTCCCCTAAAAAAGTGGAAAAATGACAAAAGATGAGATGTAGTTATTTCATGGGGATTTAAGACAGAAGACTTAGCGTTCAGCAAAAGTCCCTGAAGAGTGATCTTTGCTGGTGGGCCACAGACCAGAGCTCCAAAGGAGGCCTTCGGACAACTACTTAACATTTCCATGCTTGGGTTCTCCAGCTGTCAAAGTGGACAATGTCACTTACTTACACTGCATATCCAGACGACTGCAGAGCAGAGGAATGCATAAATGTGACCCGAAAATTCTCTTTTTGTTTCAGTTCATGCACTTTGAGACAATAGTAGAAAGGCTAACTGATTAACGCAGAAGTATCAGAATAGTCATGCACCCTTGTGCACATTATACTCTTTATTTCTACCAGAGACAGTACAGTTCCCAACTATTTTACTTATTTCAATTAAAGCAGCATGATAATTCACAACAAAATAATTTATCTGCACAGTTGCAAAGAAAAAAAGAAATCCATACAGATTATCTTTGTTCTATCATTATTCAGATGGATCTAATCATGCAAATACATACTGTCACTACGGGACTATAGGACCTGATAGTTCACCACAAATATTGTGCCCACTGTATATCGTGTGAGATCCCTAAACAGAAAATCGCAGCTATCACTGCATGTTTACTTTTATACAACATGGTTTATCCTTTGCTACGTAACATCCAAGAAGAGTGCACAGGGAAAATTATCTTAGCATTCAAACGAGCAAGTATTAAATATGTTGACAAATTGCTGGAAGAAAACATCTCACTTGAAAAATTTCTGTACTTAACTAATGATTACATAAAGCATATAAGAAAGTTTCCGTGTCTTAAAAAACATTTGAGCAGCAACTGACTTTTGATTCCCAATTATCCAAACTCTCATCTTAGATTTCATATGCTATAATAAACTGCACATACAATATCCCAGTTAAAATTACAGTAGCAACTTTCTGTCTCCTTGTTTTAGTGACAAAATAATTGAAATAATGAAAAATACAATCAAAACAGAGAATGGATAAAATAGACAAGAAATATGATGGCAAGAATTGCCCTACATTATTATTTATATTTGAAGACAAGGAAAACACTTCACTTCACAGAAAAGTGTTGGCTTTTTTTTTTTCTTTCAAGAAACTAGAGGGTGTTGCTGGAGGGTTTTAATACTCATTTTCCAACAATACATGCCTATTCAGGTTCTTTTGTCAACATACATGAAATCTAAATATAAACAGCCCCTCATATGCCGTATTTTGTCAAGTGGCCTTGTACAGAAAGTTTGACTTGGAAACAAACCAACCCTGTAAATCTAAATCTAGCTGGCATCATTTTTATGCAAAATGGGAATTTTCTTTTTGTTTGTGAGTGAAACATCATGGAAAGAGGGATTATACTGCTTACATATAAGCTTTTCCCAACCTAATGTGTCACAATCCTAAATGCAATAGCATTACTATGCCTCTACAGTGCAAAGGCTCTCAGAGCTCATTTGCCCACAATGATTCTTGATCTCTGCAGTTGATTGTTTACATTAAGCAACATCCGTGAAAACTAAAAATGACCAAACCACACAGAATGAAAGTAATTTTTTTTATAGGCAAATTTAAATCATGTTGCTCTTCATAGATTTAATGCTCAAAAATATGTGATGGATTGACAGCCCTTCACCATTGACCTCAGACCTGATACCACATGGGATACATTTTAGATGTTCCATTCAGCCCATTTACCTGCAAACTGGAATTATTCCTTCATCAGTTTGCAACCATTACGGCTGGCATTAGCACCCATGTCCCATTTGAGGCACTGCAACTCAGGAATGATAAAGGGAATAATAACAATGACCAGAATCTTAAAAGTCAGGGCTGTGTGTTCATGTTCAAAGCTCAAGGAATTGGTATTATTTACACACAACAAGGAATGAGAGGAGAGAGACATGACAACAGTTTTGGCTTTTCAGAATTATGGTTATAAATAAGACGGACATCAATTCCTTTTTCTAAACACAAGAGGCAAACCAAGTTGCAAATTACAATAAAGGTCAGTTAGATCAGGAAAAAAATTCTAACAGTAAGGACACTTGGACAGTACAAAAGATTTTTTAGGGAGGCTATAAGCTCTTTTATCTTGGAGATTTTAAAGAATAAGCATCTGTCAAGAATGGTACCTAACAAGCTCTGTTTTGGGAAGGCTCTGGACTTGATGACCTCTTGAGGTCACTTTTCAGCTTTGTTTTCCAAAGTTACTTTGTTAGACAGCCAATTTAACCAAAAAAACTGAACAAATATGTCATAGGTCAATGACCCTTCTCTGTTGCCAACCCAGGTTAGTTCTGAGTCAACAACACAGAAGTGAATGTCACCATATCTTATCACCAGCTGCTGAGCTGCTTCATCCTCTAGGCATGGTACTGTGCTATTAATGTAATAACCAAAAAAATTAAAATTGGGGCATATCTTTACATATATACTAAAATGACACTTACATTACATCCGTTGTTTCTAACATTATTTATATTTCAGACTGCAAAGACAGGCAGCAGCTCAGAAAATGACTTGTAAAAGCTATTATTAGTAACTAATGGATGTTGAGTTCTGTTCAGACTTCTTAATTTAAAATATTCAACCTGTGTAAGCCAAAATGACTAGTATACTTTACCAAGAGCACACACTGCTTCAGTTCAAATATTAACCCCAGCTCAGTACTGTCAGAGCACCACAAAGAAGAAGACCAAAGCACATCTTGAAAATGGAAGGAAGGGAAAAAAGTGCTTGAAATAAATCTTGTAACATCTAGCTTCGTATACCCTTTTCTATATATTTTAATGGTCCAAAAAGCTATAACAAGCTAACCTCTTGAAACTATTGTTCAGCTACTGTCAAAGGAGACTATAGCTATGATTTTGGCAAGCGGTCCAGCAATCAGTCCTTCATTTCTGACGGGAATCGTCTATCTCGTATTTGTTTGACTTTTGGGAAGGAAAAGGTTACAGCTAAAGTCTATCAATACAGTCCTATTTAGCCATGACTCCACAATTTAGAACACCCATAGTGACATGCAATTACACTACATCTTTTTCCTGCAAATCATTATTATATGGTCCCAGTAAGAAATGGACTGGATCTCATCAGATATTATTTAGGAGGAATAAGGACTCATGTTCAAGTTGGAAGGTGGAAAACCTGGCACTGATTTTAAAAGATGGGGTTGATGGCTTTTCATGTAAAGCCTTTCTGAAGTGTTTATTTTTAATTATGCTACACACATAAACATTGTATAACTTGCCCTGCAGACTGATACGTCTATTTACATGTGGAAAGCAAATAGATATTATTAGGAGGGCTGTTCATGATATAAAGATCACTCTTCAAGAGATCTTAATTTATTTTAAAATAGGCTACTTAGTGCATCAGTGAATGGCATTTACTGTGCATTTAGACCCAGGGGACAAGCAAAAGGTGCCTCTGTGAAATGAGCTACTCCCTTTACTTTGCTGTGTTTTAAATCACGATTGTACCGCTGTGCACAGAACTCCCTCTGAGCTGTACAGGCACCTAAGCTGAATGTTTCATAAACCTTGTGATCCTCAGTAACGCTCTACAGGTTCTCACTGAGACACTGCAAACCTTCACGGTAAGTTCATGGACAGGCAGTCCCTACATTTTAGAAATACTACGATCACCAAGATGTTATGTTACAAGTATGTTTGAACTTTGAAAGAAAAGCAAAATGCTTGCTTTCATGTTCAGCAAAGCACATGCTTAAATCTATCCCAAATCAAGAAAGTATTTTCTGTAGTATTCTCCTGCTATGCAATCAGATTTAAACTTCTTAAGTGGTTTGTTGAACTGGATCCATAAAAACAAGTGAGTTGTTTTAAAAGAAAGAATTACTGTAAAGAAAAATCTCAAAAAATGGCTCCTGACCTCAATTTTCTTATGCTTAGCCTCCCACTAAAATCCCTTGTGTTTTTCTTGAGGTTCTTTTGGACAAGAGTATTTCCTTATTGCATTTGGGTATGTTTTCAAAGCTATGTAAGCTGCCCTCTATTCTCAGAGACTTCGGGCTAAAGCTGTGAAAAACTACTTGGAAAAGTACCTCAGAAAATCAGGATTACTTGCCTGACTTGAAGGTCTCATTACTTACGTCACACATCAGTGCAGTTAAATGAATCCCCTCTTCTCAAATCACTGTCTTTTTATAATTTCATTCACACTTGCATTTGTAAAGGAGAAGGGCAGGGAAAGACCAAGTCATTCACTCAAATAGGTCATTGGCTCAAGTGAGAGAGAAGAAATGCCCTTCTGCTTTTGGGGAGGAAAGGAGCGTTCCTGCAGAAGCAGCCTCAGAGGCACTCACTCCGAGGCTACCATGTGCTGAACATGACAGCAGTGTAAAGTGATGCTACGAATGCATTTTGGAAGCTCCCGGTACCCTATAGCCTGATTTTCCTCTGTTCTTCCCCGCCTTGCTTTTCCCTTGGCACCTCTGGCAACTGCTGACAGGAAATGCTAACTGTAATTCCGTGTGTTTTAGGCTACATGAATCTGAGTCACGGTCTCCAACAAATCGTTTTATCATATCTTGCGTTCAAGCCTTAGTGTAGCGGACCTGCAGGAACCTACTGTCACTTTCACCGAAGTGGAGCAAAGGGACTTACTTTTAAACCACCTGACTCTTTGAAGACATATCCCTTTTTTTGAAGCCTCTCAGAAAACTCTTCCTCCATTTTGAGAGGCCATATCTGGCAAATTTTGGTTCACCTCTCATTCTCATGTGCATTCTGAGTAAAAACAGGTCAGAACGATGAGCTATAAAATATGACGTATCATTGATTCTCATTAATTTGTTTTCTAGATTCACATACTGCATACAGCCCAAGTTTAGAAAGCTTACATTTGTGAACGAAGGCTCCTGAAAGTCTTATAAGGAACAACCTGCTCTTGAACTTAGCTTTTCAGCAACCCCTTTCTCTATCCCCATATTAATTCTCTATTATGTGCAGTAAGTACAGCTTTGCTGCCTTGACTGAAGATGATGGAGAACAGTGCACTCTTGTGGGGCAAAATTAAAATCAGCAAGGAATAAAAATTCTACCTTTGCAGAAAATAACCTAACTTCATATAAGCGGTTGAGCAGCTGTAGTAAGAGAGGATGAATACTGTTTCTTTTTACTGGGTGACTCAGCAGATGCACTGAGTACAGTAGCTTGGTTCTACATTTTTTTCCAACTGAAAACCTTTTGCTGTGCCCTAGAAGTCCGTCTCTCTCATATTTCATGATTTTAATTCAAAGAGTAAGTTTAGAGAGGAGCAAAAAATCAATAATAAAAGAACCAGTAATTTTCAATTAATTAAAAATCAATAGTACTTCTCATAAATGCTTTAATTTAGCAGGAAAGCTAATACTTCATGATCTTCTGACTCGACGACACAATCTGCTGCTTCACTTCAAGCAGCAAGTACACAACCTATCAGGAACTACGTGCGGCATTGCAACACCGACAACTCAGTGTGACGAGACTTTCTGTAATCTGGCTCCTCTGCTACAAAATCTGCTCATTTTGACAGTTTGTTTTCTGTAAACCCAAAAATCTATGGCGTCTGTATGGCTCAGACAATCAGTTATCAGACAGACAACGCTTTTCTCCTAAATCGATAATTCAAATCCAAAGCAGTGACCGAAATCAATCTAATGACCAAAGGTCATTGCAGTCTGACAGATGCGTGGTGACTGGTATGAAATGAGTTTGTAGTTTCACTCAAGGCATAATAGTCAACAGTCCTTTTAAGGGAAAAAAAGAAAACATCTTCACAGTTGATACCATTTTCTGTGCAGACAGATTTTAAAGAGAAACATAGAAGTGAGGCTGATCTCTCTTTTCACTCCCAACAGTGCTGTGTCCAAGTGTGGGCTGACGAGTGTCCTTGGAAAAGGACTGCTTTCTTTGGGGACAAAAATAGAACTCCGTGCCCTTAACTTTTCATACTCATCGAAGTCAGCTGTAAATATGACCCACTAATTTGAAGACTTTAGAACATTTTCATTCCAGTCACAAGTATAAACCCAAAGATGTAAAACAGTATATACAGCAAAAAGCTATCTTTCATTCAATATATCTGGTGGTAATTACCTGCTCCAACTACTTTATCAATGGATATATTAGAAGCATCTAGTTCCTTGGCAAATTCATGCACAGCTTGGTTGGGATCCTCATATGTATGCGGATCTACGTAAGTTCTCAGGCCTGGGAGTTTTACTGCATAAAAACAAATTCAGAGAGAAAATGTTACTTAGACTTAATTAATCCTTCTAAAGAAAGCTCATGAGACAATAGCAATCAAATCAATACAAGAAGATGACATACTGCTTCTTCAAATCAAACTGCTTTTGACAGGTGTTCAGGAATCTTAATATAGAGTGAAACCAGAGACATTAATGTAGTTCTTGCACTGAAGTCTGAAAAGTGATTTAAAATATATCTGCACTTGCCATATTTAATTGCTTTTCAAATATTAAAACACTACCTACCCCTCCCAGCTTGCTACGTTTAGATGCTGCCTTATACTGTCCCTTTCAAGGTAACAACATAGAGGCAAGAAACAAAACGTGTGATGCTACAGTCAACCTGAAAAGTTCTGGGGAATATATTAAGGAGAGTAGATTAATTCAAACTTTTTCTTTCCAAGTGCTCCAACAAGATGCATAAGAAAAGAAAATCATACATGAAGAAATGTACTGCTGTTTCAATCCCTCTGCTAGTACATACAAGGATGGCAGCCAGTTGTTCGTACTACTAAAGTCTGGTTCTAGTGCTCAGTTACCCTCACATCCAAGTTATTATTTTGTCCCCCTCTACAGTTTCCTAGCCAGGGATTGTTCTGTTTGCCTGGGGTAAGCGCTAGTTCAAATGACTGAATGATTTTAAGGGCAGTTTCAAGCTTTCCATATCTCTTATTCCACCAGGACTGGAGAGGGGGGAGGAAAATATTATCATTCCTAGCCTTTCTCTCCAGCAAAGCATAGCCTAATTTCCCTTCCCTGGCTCAAAGTCCTGCTTCTGTTCGTACCCAGTACCTTCTGTGCCTGCCTCTGTATTTGTTTCAGAACACAAAGATGTTCTGTTAACAAAAAGTGAAATAACCGTTACATCCAGCTTGAAGTTTTCTGCTTCTGACACAAAACCTGCATTCCTGGACATGTATTCTAGCTTTTCCTAACTGTACCAGTTGGTCTTGTAAAAGATATTAACTCCTCCTACAAACACCGCCTTAACCAGCTCAGGAATATCCTTTCCAGCTTGGCATTATTATACTGCACCAATTTGTTGACTGCTAGAATAGTTAAACCTTTTTTTGCTGGGGTTACACAGATGGGAAAAAATACCTTTGGACCATTAGTTAGAGCACACCATTGTTCTGTCAAAGAATCCCAAGTGTACGTAAAAAAATAATCAATTTTATGGAGATTTATTGGCCTCAGAATTGACAAAGAAATGATAAAACTGAGTTCCCAAGCTAATTGCCTCGAAAACAATGCAAACTAAGAGCCGTGCTCTTAACACAAGGGCTGCGTGTGCGCGGCATTAAATGCCGACTGTGTTTCCTTCAAGAGCCTGATGATTACAGAATTACTTGCAAGTAAAACAAAAAGTAATTGGCTGTATATTGCTGTTGGTTAAAAATCTTGTAAATGCTCCTTTCCGCCCATGCTGAATGTACATTACAGGCTCCCTCATAGCCCCAATAAAAATAACAATTAAAAGCTTCTGCACTGTGGGGTTTTTGGCTGCAGATTTTTAATGCTGACCCCAGAGGTTCCCAAGATCAGGTGATGGTGACTGCAAGGAGAATAATCCCTTCACACCAATAATTAAGGGCAGCCTGTATAGTAACGGGGCTCTGTCATGAAAAACAGATAATAAACACATGCACATGTGTTAAGCTGTACTACTTTACAGCTCATTCCGTGCAAACATAATAATTTACATTTTTATTTTAACTGCATGAATTGCCCTAAAGGTAGCAAAAAAATAAAAAGGGCTTACCCAAAGAAGGCAAAAGGAGAGGATCTGAGGAGGTGAAACATTTTTTGCTCCTTTGAAGTAATATTATAAGATTTGTAATAAGGCTGCAGGGAATAGTTCATGGCTAGAATCTTTTTTAAACTAATTCAGAATAAACTGACTGAAATAAACCAGCTGCTGTATTTAAGATGCTGAAAGTTTACTACAGCCATGGAAGTTACTTTATCCTTTTTTAGTTCATAAGAGAAAGACTGTAATTTAGCAGAATAAGGTTTCAACAGCCACACATGTACATACATACATACAAATCCTAACAGATAAATATCTGCAAAATCAATAAATAATTTTCAAGAATTTCTATCAGAAATACCAGGTCCATGATCACCTCTGCTCTTACTACACAGTGAATCAGCACGGCACTACTCAGAAAACAGTACATAAATATCTAAAGCCAAATTAAAAGCAATTTAATCCACAGGAATTTAACAGCACTGGCATGTTTAAGAATAGTGATTGCAACTTTCCATTGTGTGGGAGTAAGGAGAGCAAATTCTGACCTGTTATTTGTCTGTGACACTTCTTTTACTGGCCGCTTTTATTTTATAACCTCATTAAATTTGGATGATGAAGCATTAATTCTATGGGCCACATGTAACTGTGTAGATTTTTTTTGAGACCAGTTGGTTAGCGGTTGTTGGGCTGCACGAAGCAAACGCCCTGTTACAGCTTTGTATCCCCTGACAGTGCAAGGGAAGGAGCACACGTGTTGTGGATATGCATGCCCGTGGCTCTCTGGAGATAAGGAGGGCCTCCAAACTTAAAATAATATGAACAGTCAGAGAACAGTTACTCCATTGTCACGGGGATTAGGAAGCAGTTCTGATTTCCAACTACTGCAGGTAAATCCCTCATTAAAAAGCTAATTCAATTATATTTGGTGGGGAGGTATCTGATTATGGTACCAACAGCTCTTTTCTTGCAGATGGTACATCTTGCAGATGTTGTGTGCAAAAAACTCACGTACGTTAACCGTACAACATTCTAAGCAATAGAAATACATGGTTCAACATGGTTTACATGGTGTAGCAGGATATTTATCTGAAGCTGAAACAGTTTCAAAGACAAACTACTACTTCATGTTAAAAACATGCTCATTAGACACCAAGTATTCTCTGGGTGAAAAAAGGGATTCCCAGCCTTGGTGTTTCTGAAGGGTGTTATCTTTACCCTGTAAGGATGAAAAAAATCCAAAAAATCCTGGTAAAAACCCAAGAATCCCTCCTCTACTCCTGACTGAGAATGTTAAAACTATAAACACCTTCTCCCCTCAGCTTCTCCTACTACACAACTAATTTATTTCTATTTTAAAGAGGATATAGATGGAGCTTTGACTGGGATCTAGGCTTCACGATCCACAGCTCCTCTGCTGTGGAAAAGTGCTGCAGGGTTATGCACACTGCAGAGAGGATCCAGGCTCAGAGAGGACCTGAAATACTGCAGGACGACATTCCCCTCCAGCCACGGGCCATAGCAAGCTGCTTCCTCCTGGTAGCCAGGACATGTGCCTGGGCTCAGAAAATCAACACTTTTTCCCTCGAGTGTCTCCTGGATAGGATCTTGCTCCACGCTGTTCCTTTCACTGGGCACAGCCAAATGACGCAGACTAGCCATGAATAAAGTCCCATTTAGCCTTATTAAAAATAGGTATACAAACATCAGACATAGATAGGTTTCAGGTTTGGCTTTTAAACACGTTTCAAAAGTAGCCCAGATTCCTCAGGATGAGCAAAATCTCACATCCTTAACTATATACAATTTTTGTGAATCAAAGACAACGTAAGTCAATAGAAAGGCTCTCTTCTTGGTCCTGGATGAGACTCAAAGAAAGCATACACATATTCATTCTTGCAAGTGGGGCATCAGGACTTGAACAAAACATGTTTGTAAACAGAGCTGGATTAAAAATTCCCATTAATTTGTGAGACACTTGTTTATTAGTTAATTCTTAATTTAAGAAACTACTTTAAATCACTTTTCAGCCTACGCTTAGAATAATTCCATACTAAATTATTAGTGGCTTAACTTCATCAAGCAAGCCATTTTCACAGTCCCTTCAGTAGTCATCAAGACAGATTTCATTGATTTTATATCTTGCTTTGGAAAAAAAAAAAAAGTCATTTCTTAGACTTCATACAACTGATAATGAGGCAGTTGAAGTTACACTCTGCATTTCAGTAATGCACAGCAGAATCAATATCATATTGCTAACCACACGCATTGTTTGAACACAGACAGTGATGTTTTGCTCATTACTAACCTGAACACAGATGGAAGAATTTGAAACAAAGAATAATTGTTTGGGGAAAATCTCCTTACCCACAAGAGAAGAGATAATTCTCTTCCCAATTTCACCTAGGTTTAAGTGAGACATGACTTTTTTTTTAAAAAAATTGAAAAATACCAGTTATCTAGGGGATGAATTCAACAGATCTGGAAGCATTAAAAGGCTTCAGTAACTTACAATGACCATTCCCGAAATGTAGTCTTTTCTCGTCAGTGCCATGTTTAGACTTCTTGTATCCACAGAATCTACAAGCAAGAGAGAAAAAAAATTAATATAGAGAATTTTATATGTTAACTGCAGGTGGAAACAGAATAAAATATTTCCCCTCCACAATTAAATGCCTGTTTGAAAGTTTAATGATATTTACATTCTCTGTGCCCTATAGAGGCATGTTATGTTCTCAGGGAATTTGAGGAAATTGGCTAATGAGAGGATTTGTTGATTTTTGACCCCTACAGTTTAATTTTACAATTGCCTAAGAATGTGTTTATAGCATTTTTTAACAACTGCTGCATGATTGGGGCTGCTAATGTTAGCAGGCTCATTACTGAGCACGAAGCAGTATTTGGAGCTCCTGGGCAGCAGACAAAGGAGAAGGTGCAAATCAGCCACGCTACTGCCTGACGACACCCAATTTGCCTCGCTCATCAAGGCCCCTTGGGGAAATGGAAGCGGGAGTAAATGTGCAAACCAGACGATAAACTAACCTCCCAATCAAGACGTACACCACAACTGTCAGGAGAATAATGGCTACTGCTGCTGAAATGGCGATCATTACAACCTGGCTATTCTCACTGGAAATGGAGAACGCTGGAAAGTTAAGACAAAAATATATAAGTAACGCCTCTAACACGTAACATTGATTACATCACAATTGACACTCATATAGGGAACGGACAGATTAAGTCATCACTATACAGCATTTGGTCTCCTGCCAAATATTTAATCTACTAAGTAATTTTTCATCAGACAAATAAATATAAAAGAAGAAAACAAAAGACTCTGGCCATCTTTGACAATTTACCCAAGTTGTTTCTGCTCCTGCTGATTTTTACACTTGCTGATTGTACTAACTGCTGTTAAATTAATACTTAAACATATATGTAAATACAGACATACATACCATGACACACGTACATTTTGTTATGGTCAGTAAGGAATTTTTCCCTGGCAAAAAATCCCAGCCAGTCAATAATCATCACCCTTACTCTCACTTCTGGATGATGGCAAGTGTTTTAATGAATTAGGCTTCCCAGTTAAGCTTGACAGTATCCCTGCGAAGGCTGGGAAAAGCCAGGGTCCACAGAAGCAGACAGAAGGACTATCTATGATTAATCAATGTCTATAGGAAAAAGAAGGGCTATTTTTCTGCCTTATGTCGGATGCTTCCCTGTGGTCCCTAAGCAGGGAGCATTGATGTGCTAGGCTGCTATACAATGACAGGACACCTTTAGATCTTAGGTGTTAGGAATAATCTTCAGCAGACACATACTGAACTTCACTGAGCACAGCAGAATTAGGCTCCTCAGCACCATGCTTCAAGTTAGCTGTCCAAACTGAGCTGAAAGCAAGCACTCCTGGTCCCCACAAATGAGGCAGTTTGTGTACGTGACTGCTTGGAGTCACACCGTTCCCCTTGGGAAGAAGCCTCTGCCTGTTACAGATGTACAATTGCACTCGTGTAGTTAGGATAACTTGGCAATAGGAATAAAGTTACGTGAGTTGTTGTCTATCTGTGTAGCCTGTTGAGATGTGCACCGCTGTACTTTGCAGAGAAAAGTCATTAACCTCTAAACTATGAAACTTGTTATCACTGTAACAGATTTTTTCTCCTTGCTGTACTTGTTTGTCTTATCTTGAGTTCCAGTTTCATCCAGTATGCCAAAGCTGCATGCCACCATCACAGTGATTTGTAACTATTTTTTTAAACAAGAAGCTTGTTTGCTTTTCAGAATAAGACCTGAGGTGGGGGAGGAAGAAAGGATGCAATACATAACAGGTCTCAAAAATACATGGACGCCAAGTGAAAGACCATTTGGCTTGATGCTACTCTTCTTGGCTAAAAATTTGTTGCTTTTAGCACAGCACTTCTTACAGCATGGGATCTCAAGCCTTACCATGAGTACATGAATAAGCCTTATGAGTGTGTATCAGAATTACAGTGCTTAGCTGTGTTATGACTCTGAACAGCAGATACGAGTCTTCTGTGAAAGTCTGACCTTCTAAAAAGCAAACAGTCTTTGGTTATGCATCATCAGTCAGAAAGTAACACTTAAGACCATGAACTCAATTAAGAGTCTTTCTGATATAATAACAGAACCTGCAAAGAATACCTAAAAGGTCATCAGTTAAATAACGTTATTATCTAGGCATTAGAGAAAAGAAAAAAGGAATGTCAGACCAGTAAGCAACTCCCCCAAGGCCATCTAGAAATGTGGTGGCAGAGAGAAGAGGAGACCCAAACAGCCTAACTCCTTGGCCAGCTACCTAACTGAACAACCATCCTTCCTGGTCATGCATACCAGTTTCACCTCAAGGCTACGTAGGAGACATCAGCAATGCTCCACAGTAGTGTGGAGAATTACACACTGACCCACAGGAGTAATAGACCAATATAATATTGATTCTCTAGGTGCAGGGGTTTATAGTCCATAGGGTTCAGGCCAAAAACTTGGAACAGTGAGGCTGTGAATCTCTTTTTCTATCAGACTTCCTCCCTTGGCAGGAGCCGTGGTCCAGCAAGGTATCGATTCTGGCACGAGGCAGAGGTTGGGTAGGGAATGGAAGAAAATACCACCTGTGATAGTCATGATCTACTCCTTATAGCACATTTCAATTTTAATGATAAAATATAAAGTTATATAGTAACGCTACCCAGAAAGACACATCATAAATAGTTATGAGTCGCATTTACTAAACTAGAAAAAGGAGTAAAAGCAGTCATTCAACTCACTCAGAAAGTGTGCAGGATGTCAGTATAAACCATTTGAACAAATACTTACAATCTGGACTGGTTTCAAATTCAAACTTGCGGCTGTTTGTCCCATATCCAGCTGCAGTTCGGGCTCGAATTTGGAAGACGTAGGTGGTATCAGGTTTGAGGCCACTGATGGTAACATTGGTGCCTTTGGCCCTCAGAATAGTATAGCTTGTCTCTTGTTCCTGCTTTTGGGAAAAGAAATTATCAGATTAAAACCACACCCTAAAAAACAGAAACAAGAGGTGGTTGGTACAAAATCACTACAAATTGCCTGGAGAGCACTGGCATATTTTTTGAGTACTTATAGCCTGACAAATGCTTGTACAGCCATTCATTTTCAATCAGCTAAAAATCTTTTGATGAGCAAGAAATCTAAATCATTAGCTTCTACAGCCCTGTGCTGTAAATCAAACACTAGACATGCTGAGTATATGACATTTCATTAAACGGCTTTGCTTCATTTTGTCCATAGTCTGTAATACAACAAGAAAATGAAGATTAAAATGTCATTTAAAAAACATAAACCACATTTGCCTACTGCACTGAACTGGAAGTTGTAATAGACCAACTTAGACATTTTAGGGCCCTGCAGAGCTATTGCAGGATGCAGTTTTTACTGCCTTGCGTTTTACAAGACAATGTTTACCTTTATAATAGAAGAGAAACTCCACTCAAGCTCCTCATCTCAGCTCTGCGAACAGGCGAATACAACTGGTTTTCTATTATGCTATAAAAACTATGAGATTGATGCGTCCATCCTCACTGGGGGAAAACCCCACCGCACTTGCTCTTGAATGAGTCTGGGGCTTTAGTAGCCACAAAGGAAATGTGTGTTTGCTCCTTACTGCTTTTTGCTATAGAGCAAGGTGTGTGTCCAGTACAGACAATAGGCTCACAGTCACACTCTCCGTAACAGTCACATATTTCTGACATAACGACTTTTTATATAAAGTAAGAAATGGACCATTTTGTAATGTAGTAAGTTTGGATACACTTCACACTATGTATAAAGCTAATTCTGATAAAAGCATGTTTCAGTCCCACCGTAAGCACACAGTCTAAAAATTTAAGCATGCCTTTGAGCCTGAGGTATTGCTTATTTTACTAAAGCCATCCTGTACCAAGAGAGCATTTCTGGTTTCCTAAAAATGGCAGCTGGAACTGCCTCAGAAAAAATCTTGGACAGCAGCCACACATGTGGGGATCTGTGAGAATCTCACTTGTTTAAGTTCCCAACCGTGAACTTTTTTATTCTGGAGGCGGTGGGGATTTCATATGCCGCCCTTTTACTTTGAACACTCTAAAATACACTAAAATCATTGAGTTTTGCCTGGTTGAATGCAGAAACTGAATTAAGTTCGTATGTCAGATGCAAACAATCTCACCTAATTCCCACTATGGTTTATGGCATTGCATTAGCTTGCAGGGCACTGACATTTTAACTTTGACAACACTAGATGATGCACAAGTACAGAGGTTGGAAAATACTCAACACGCTCATTGTCAAAGTCATCTCACCTTCACCTAAAAGTCCAAGTGAGTTGAGTTGTTTTAGTGTGTTTGCTCTGCAGCGCTGTCTAGAGTAAGAAAGTCAGGTTTGTTCCAAATTAGTAGGTGGACATCAGAAACTGTTCACTTTGGTGCTTACAGAAGCCTAACTACCCTGTTCTTGGTAGTCTTTGATATAGAGAGAAACAGAAACATTTACACCATAGTTAGGGAAATTGCCAGAACATGCAATATTATGCACGTGAATAATCACAGGGAAGGGGGGGAAAAAAAGAAAAAGAAAAAAGAAAAAGCAGCTAAGCCTGTCCTAAAAGTTACCATCCAGAATCAAAACCTCAGATAGGGTGAGTTGGACCTAGTCTTCAAAAAATGACTATAAAAATGTTTGCCATGGCCCATTTTCTTCGCACACTAAAATTAAAAAGGAAAGCGACACCAGACCTCCTCATAGTTTCCTGGTACTTCTCTGAAGAAGTTTTCTATCCTAAATTCAGGGAAGAAAATTTACAGGAAGACATTCTAAAGAGCTAACAGGTTTGCGTGAAATTATTTATTTTTTAACTAACAAAGGCCTAGTAGTATAATTTGCAGGCTGTCCTTATCATTCAGCTGAATGCAGGCAACTATCTTAATTTCAAAGACATAATAATCTGGTCTTTAAAACATAAAATCTTTTGTGTATGCTACGACTGGACATTCATTTTGATCTCACTTCAGGCTGCTTTTATGAAATGCAAACATTTCCTTCTTGTGTAGATACATATGTGTAAGGGAAAATACAGTCATGGCCCTGTCTGTTAATAATCCACAATGGAACTTGGAAAATAAACGTTAAAAACAATGGTATGGAGGATGTCACGGTATCTTAGTTTATGGTAGGCTTTTTTACACACATATTTTGTAGGTCATTTTTTATGTTACTAGTAATCAAATCAGTGAAACACCACATAAAAGCCCAAGTTTATCTTTCTTGGGGATGAAGTAAAACTTCAGAGATACAGCACTATAACTGCCATAAGCAGAAGGAATATACAAAAAGAAGAGCCAGTCTTTGCCAAGCAGAACTTCAATCAAACACTCTGTTTGATGATGAATTCGAACTTGGATGCACAAAGCATATTCTTCCTGAATATTTCTGCATAGTTTACCAGCCACAAGCTTTACTGGGAAGCAAATCCCACTACTGTTAGCGTCTCATTTGCAAATGACATTTTATAATTTCAAACTATGTTTTACAAAAAACATATTTTGGATACATTTAAAATTTATAGCGGCAGTACTAGTGAGAGTGAACAGTATGTCCTTTTTCAGATAAGCATGGGAAGTGTTTATATTATATGAGGAAGAGCATTTTCTCCATCAGCTGCATGTACACTTGAGAGGCTAAAACCTCTTTGGAAGGAGCCCACAGCCCCAATACTCCTTTCCCTTATTGCCAGGCGTGAACTGTTTGTCGATACGTTGGTTCCTACAAACCTTGTGGAGTATATATGGCCTACCTACCCTCAAAGCCAGAATAATAAGAGTTTAAAAGCAACTAGGTGCATTTGCACATAATTTACATTTTCAGCCTCAGAAAGAGCACAAACTAGATATCATTATTTATTTGTTGGCTTTAACCAGTCTACTGAGCACACAATTTCAATGATGGCAAAGGCAAATCTATTTTAGCAATGTGAGACTGCAATTAAACTTCACTTATTGTTTGCAGCAGACTTCACCTTTGTAAAGTGTGTAGGATTTAGCTAGCAAAACTGTAAGCCACATATTTAAATGACCCAATTAATAGTTTATGTGTGGTAGTTAGGAGATGCTTTTTTTGTATCTTTGCACGACAAGATACTCCCTCCAGAGAACATAATTATGTCAGCAAGGACAAGGAGGAAATAAAGTATTTGCTTGTCTAAGAAAAAAGCCCCTGGCTTTTGTAATATGTGCACTTTGACAGCTGAGACACTTAAAACCCAGCACAGCATTACATAGGTGGGCTAAATTGGGGTGTCATTTGGTACCATTAACTTAAGATAAAATATTATGCCTTACCATAAAATAAATGCCTAGAAGTTCCACACAGTATTCCTCTGAAAGAGGATTTTATTTCTTTTAAATGTTTTGAATCAATAGTAACTGGGGCCTCATAACCAGGCCCCTATAGATTATTACAGAAAATACAATTCTATTCCAGATAGTGAGTCTGAAAAACTGCCACTCTCAATTCCTAATGTTATGCATTAAAACCCCATAGGTTCATTCCAAAATGTTAAAATAGGTTCTCAAAACTGAAGCTCCTAATACATCTGGAAACATCATATGAAGCTCAGTTCTCTCTTGGTTACACAAGTGCCACTGCTGGTGAAAAGGAAAATCTGAATAGGTTAGTTAATTACCTTTGAGGAAAATAAATAATTTCCACATAACAACTTATTAGAAAAACTACACAGTATCATAATTTAGATATAGGACATTCTGTTGTTATTCCAAACCGATTCTAACATCCTAAATATCAGTTACATGCAGGTGTCCATAAATATCACGTATTCTTTGAAATTTAAGAAGGACCTAGCAAAGTAAAATAAAAAAAATAAAAAATTGCATGGGTAAGGTGTATGACAGAATTGGGCTGATCTGTATTACTCTATTAATGCTGTATTTATTAATTTCTAAGAGATTACAAAAGGTATAGCAAGTAAAAACAAGTAGGAGGGAAAAGAATGGCTCAGCATAAATCATCTACCAGCAATCAGGCACGACTTATCAGGAGAAATACCCGGCTTTATGACTGCAAAGGGCTTCATTCCTGGCAGCTGCCACTTAACAGCAGTGGGTTTTTTGATGAGCACAACCAAGACAATTTCTAAAGCAGTAAATCAAATGGACTGCACCAGCTTAAAAAAAGCTCTTTTTTCAAAGGAGGCTTGAAAACATTAGAAATATGAAATGATATGAAAATATAATCACAACATTAGAGATCTCAGACTAAAAAGCAGCATCTTCCAAAGGTGTTTGGAGAAGGAATGAAGAATAAGAGTCCGGTATGGGCTGCTCTGGCCTCAGGTAAGTTTAACAGAGTAGTAGTTTGCAACCTTTCACAATTTGCAGAACTAAAAAGGGCAATGCATGAAAGCCTCCTGATAATAGATTTGCTTTTCTTATTTACCTTTCATAAACCCTGAGGAATAGACTTCTGACTCCCCAAAGGACTGCAGAACACACATTAAAAACACCGGTGTCAGAAGGTTGTATTTTTAAAAACCCTGAACTCTAAATGGTCTGGCTCCTATTGTCAAGCAGTTGGTTCTCCGGTTTAAGAAAGCTGTCTGGTGCATATGAACTCTTGATCACAGACTTCAAAGGGAAGAAACACATGTGCAAGACCAACCTCATGGTTGTCTTATGAAGCTGTCTTACGACAACCAGTTGCTCCGTAAGACTGGATATACTCAGTGGGAATAGAAGTGGCATGCTTAGTCTGTGCATACAACAGTACGGGAACGTGACAATTTTCTTGAATAAAACAAGCCAATTTCAGTGTAGAACAATGATCAAAACACCACAAAAACCCAAATACACAAATAAAACTTCTTGGCCATTTAATTAAAATGAACTAAATGCACAAGGGGAAAAAAATTCTCTCCTTTTGGAGCAAGGGATGTCAAGGTAAAGGTTGGACTCGATGATCCCAGAGGTCTCTTCCAACCAAATCGATTCTGAGATTCTGTAACTAAAACCCAAGAGATCACCCTAACGCCACGATGCGCAACACAGTCGCGTGTTACATCCTGCACCCTGTGGTATTTGCACACAAACCCCCAGGCAAGGACTTCCACCTGGGGAGATTGGAGGTGAAGCCGAGACCGCAGCTGGGCCACGGCAGCTCTTGGGAAGCAAAGGTACGGTCAACAGCAACAAGAGCAGCCAGGTAGGTCTCAAACGAAACACAGTTACTCATGCAGAGAAACAACCTGGCCTGGGCAAACCAGGCTGAAGTTCTGGGGTCGTTCAGGTGTAGGCTCTTTGTGAGGTAAATAGCTCTTCCAAGCCTTACTAAAAGGCAGTATCTCTTTTCTTTTCTTAAAAAATTTTGGAAATAAGAGATGCCAAATAATTCCTGCATCCTTTCACTGCTGAGGATGTACAAATAAAGACAATCTGATGTACTAGCTGGTTCTCTTTTACTTCTCAAGCCCAGGATCCTGGCTTGATCCTGTCCCCATTGAAATAAACAGGAAAAAAAATCAAAGTGAAAGTCCATAGGGTACTGCTTTATAAGGTGAGACTGAACTGAAAAATTTAGGAAGCTTTCTTTTTCATCAGTAGCACTACGTAAGTTTAGATATTTACCAAGATCTTTGAAGGTTCAGGTGCTCACCAAAAAAACATGCCCAAATCAGTTGACATATTAATTTGGGAGAAAACTTTTCAAAATACAGCCGCACAATCCCCATGCTTCAGCTGAAGATCAGGCGTGGACTATAGATATCACATTGTCCCACTGCAAAGTTGTATGAAAAAACTTTCTAAAGACTAACTGAATACCCATGGAGTCTTTTTAACAGCAATTTCTAAGTGGATATTAGCACCACGTCTTCCCTGGTACGTATGAAACACAAGCCTGATTTATAGATATGAACAGCATTAGTAAATGCTAAATGAAACCATTATTTCTGACATTTTTTCAAAGTTTGTCAACTTCAGTAGCAATATACTCTTTGATCAATCAAAAAATGGCTAACCACTCTTGACAATCTTTACAACATTTTATGGTCTTTTCAATTCCACTGGTGAGATTTACTAAAAAAGCCCATTCTGGTATAAAGATTTATTTCTTCCGTAAATACAGCTCTACATAGGATGTAGAAATCGACAGTAGTAAATACAAGAAAATGTCAACAAAAAGCAGAACCTATTTAATGGCAGATTTTCTTTGGTTTGTAGTTATTTACATACAACTTATGAAGAATTCAGTTATTCATGAAAAGCGGGAACTCCCATAGCGCAAACCAGCCTGAAGGATCACCCATCTCTTTTCCAAACAATTTTTGTATAAAAGATGCTTGCACCATGGGGAAGCACCAGCATATGGATGTTGACAAACAAATGTATGAACACTGACAGCATAATAGAACTGAGCAAGGAAATGGTACTCAAGAAAAATAAAAAAGAAAAAATGTGTTACAGCTTGTCTGCATTGCTTTCTATATTTGTTCTAATGTGCTTGGGGATGAACTTGGTAGACAATACAACTTAACAATTTCACTTCGTATTTTCATGATGTTCTCCTTACCAAAAATTGAACAGTTTCAACGCTTGGTGTCATTGAGGCAGACAGTGAGCGACTGGAGGTGTCTCTGAACCCTTAACACAGGCAAGATGCAATAATTTCATTATAGTACTACTAGCACAAAAACCTCCCCTTCAATCTTTCTTCCCACCTTTTCATAGTATTTGACCTCGTAGTCCAGGATGATCCCATTCGGATGTTCGGGTTCTTGCCAAGAGAGAGACACGCTGTTCCTGGATGTCCGGTCTTTCCTTATGACTGTGATGGGGGACGGAGCTGTGAAGGGGATGGGGGTAAGGAGGGAAGAGAGATAAGCAAACTGAATTCATCTCTGTTCCAATCCTTGGCAAAGAGTATTGTTTCCATTTAAAAGACTCATGAGCACCGGTCTGAGCTTGTATCAACATTCAGCAGCTGGATTCTAGTCCTGGCACACATGCCTTAAAGTATACTGGTTTCGAGGAAAATGAACTGAGATTTTCTGTTAGACTGGAGGAATAGTGGCAAGCCACCAGATGGTTTCGATCTGCTACTACCGGGTTAAGCAATGAAACACATTCAATATACTAAAATACACAACAAAATAACAGTACTACCTATTTTTTATAATGCTGAAGTATTATCATTACCAGACTCTGAAGAACTCTGATAACATTTTCATATGCCAGTGTAAAATGGTGCTGGGATGCATTACATACAAGGAGTTCCTGGTATCCAGGGCTAGTAATAACCATCAGCATACTGCAGAATAAAGCCTCTTTTATAACATTATTTGGTAAGCTCCCCAGATACAAATTGCTCCAATATACACTTCTCCTTTACCACATTTCTTTGAAAATGAAATTTGAAGGAAAAAAAAAATCTAAACTACAAAATAACCTCATTTCTGATCTGTATTAATCGGAGTTAGGCATGACAATGGATTGCACGCCACAGACTCACCCACCACCCACAACTTGGAAGCACTATTGATGTTACAGAAAAAAAAAAATAATAATCATAATTACCCAAGATTCCTGAACATCAGCTCAAGCTTTAGACCACCCAGCTCTATATGCCGTTCCAAGACCAGGCCTAGGTTTCCTGGACTCACTGAAAGCTATGCAATTTTTGAAATTATTTTTTCTGTTTCTTTTGGGTTGGCTTCCCCAATCCAAATGCTTCTCTTCCACGGCTTTGGCCAAAATTCATCGGATGATAGCTTACAGATCACACATTAAAGGTTGTAACTGTCATTTTAGAAAAAATCTTTTACCAATAAACAGCCTTTTATCTTAACATGTAAAACAAATGCATTTATAAGTTCAACATTGTGCTATCCTAATAAAAAGACTTTAGCTGATCTAAACAATTTAATTTCAGCTGCATCCTATGAAGCTTTTACTGTTCATATAAAACTAGCTGCACTTTACAGGCATTACACATTTCCATGCCTTAGTCAGTGCCTTTCCTGTTTGGGTTTTCATTCCTGCAAGAGAACTTTCAAAAGCCAGAACAAAAGAAGTTTTAATTAAAATAAATTTTGGAAAATTCATTTTGTGTTTGATTTTGCTAAACTTCCATCAAAACATACCTTCTAGGCTTCAGTCATAATCTAAATGTTGACATCCTCCTTTAACTGAGTGGAGCATCTAGAAAGCTACATACACCCGCACAAGCACATATGAATATATATATGTATACACACTTTCACATTCATTCTGGACTGAAACACAATCTCTGAGCAGCATTTTCACATGTCAAATGTCAAATAGCTCACAATAGCTTTCTGAGAAGATTAAAAAGTTGCAAAAATTCTTCTTCCCCCTGCCTCCCCCAGCAGGAAGAATTTATCCTGAATTTAAATTATTGAAATCAGAGCTAGGAAGAGTTTTGGGTTTGTTTGTGGTTTGTTTTTTTTTTTCTTTTTTAAAGTAGAATGGGAAACAGCCTCTTTCTAATTCACTCAGTCTCACAAGATCTAAGCTTGCTGAAGAGCTGAAAAGCATTAGGGAAAGGTATACAGGACAGACTTGTAACGAACATCCTTCAGTTGAATTCCACTCAGACACAAATCAGTGCTAGAGCCAAAACACAAAGTGGTTAACTGGCTGGACTGCTCTACCATAGCCAGCTTTACGTTAACTCATATACCCATGCTTGCTGCTTTTATGCTCTTGTAAGTCATTTTTATGTCTTCTTTTTAAGTCAAGTTATTCATCTTTTTTGTATGTGAATAGATTGCCAAGCCCAGTACCCCAGCTGGTAACACTTGCCATTAAGTTAACATTAATACAGATTTTATGAATAATTAATATATGATTAACAGAAATGGCTTTTCCCCTAATAAATTATGGTAATTTGTGCTATAACACATTCTCAGAGCAGGCTGAAATAATCTTATATGCTCCAATACAGATGTGCTTTAAAAAAAGCTTTCTTCTAACACAGTATTAATTATTTTGAGCTCATTTACACACATCTCTGCAGATGCTACCAGTAACTTATCTCACAGCAGTTTCTTAGAAAAGCATCTGCTCTGCAGTTATCAATAACATTATAAAACATTCATATACCTTTCCCAATCCCTAAGGTGCCCAAAGCTGCTTTGAAATTATACATATAGAGTGTCTGGAAGAGACAGCATCCCACCACCTGGGTAAACGGAGGGGAGATGGATAATCATGGGGAACACAAAGTTTCAGGCACCTTTCGTCCCACGCACAGAACAGATCCGAGCTCTGTGACACAGGGCTGAACACCAGGCCACTCCAACGGCTACTGAATCTCTGAGAAACAGAAATTAGGTATTCCAAATCTGTTTAAATCATCACGTTATCTTAACTATGTGGATCACAAAAGTTACCTAGTTTTAAGGCATTAATCTTCAGTGCATAAAGAAACAGTGTCTTCAGATATTCTGGTGGTCAGCTATTTACTTCTAGAGGATAAACCACACTATTTATGTTCAGAGGGGAAGATAAGTCTTTGTAACTTAATTTTTAATTTTGTATTTTTTTTTTCATCTTGTTAAACTATCTTGTATATCATCTGAGCATTTTAATTTTCAATAACACAGGATGTCAAAAATAAAGACTCAATATCTAGGTACAGATTTCATTTTCCTGCTGTTCCCATCATCTCTGTGTGTTCACACTGGACTTCACAAGCAGTAGTTGACTTTGATCCCCCTCTATGTTTCTGTTGACAAAACAGAGTCCCAGAAAGGACAGCCCTCAGAAAAACCTCTTCTAGCAGTTCCTCTCCTGGCACTATGTCGGGTTTACAGCTCTTCAAAGCACAGGTGAAACCAAACTGTGCTGCTCCTGGGATGACTTCAGCACCGAGACTCTCCTTCTGCAAAAAGTGGAGTACAAGAGAGCAAGGATAAATCTTGATGGGAGCATCCCCAACAGCCAGCCTTGCAGCCCCCACAGACGGGGGCAGAGAAAGGAGTCGGGATGCTGTGCCTGGAGCGGCTGCCATCCTGCACAGCCTGGCACAGCAGCCACAGTAACCTGCCTTTCCCCGAACCAGATGCCGCTGCACCCCAAGAGACAGAGGTAGTCTGGCTCTTCTGCTGTGCCTGCTGCCCTGCACAACTGAGGTCTGTCTCCCTGTTTACTGAATTGTTTCTTTGCCTACGTCCAGAACCAATTCCTCTACTAACACATGGGGTCGATTGATGAACACATGCCACACTTTCGTTTGACCAAGATAAGATAAAAAGGTTTGACGAAAATGAGATAAAATGAAAAAATTCTTTGCTGGTCTGCAGGAAGCTGGACTGTTAAAGCTTTAAATCTTAATGCAATCTTTTTTGTTTTTCTGCTGTGCCTGTTAGACACAGAATCATAGAATCATCATGGTTGGAAGAGACCTCAAAGACCATCAAGTCCAACCGTATACCCAACACCACCATGCCCACAAAACCATGTCTTGAAGTGCCACATCTAAATGTTTTTTGAACACCTCCAGGGATCCCACCGCCTCGCGGGGGAGCCTGTTCCAATGCCTAATGACTCTTACAGTGAAGAAGTTCTTCCTAATATCCAACCTGAACCTCCCCTGGCACAGCGTGAGACCGTTTCCTCTTGTCCTATCGCTAGTTACTGGGGAGAAGAGACCAACCAGACAGGTAGGTTTGAAAAGTGTTAGAAGTCACTGAATCTTAATTTAAGAAAACATCTTGTTCAGAAGACTTCTAAGTTTAATCATAGAATCATTTAAGTTGGAAAAGGCCTTTAAGATCATAGAGTTCAACTGTAAACCTAGCACAGCCAAGCCCACCGCTAAAGCATGTCCCTAAGCACCACATTGACACGTCTTTTAAATACCTCCAAGGTTGGTGACTCCACCACTTCCCCGGGCAGCTCAACAACCCTTCCGGTGAAGGAATTCTTTCTAATACCCAATCTAAAACTCCCCTGGTGCAACCTGAGGCTGTTTCCTCTCATCCTATCGCTCGTTACCTGGGAGAAGAGACCGACCCCCCCCTTGCTACAACCTCCTTTCAGGTCATTGTAGAGAGCGATCAGGTCCCCCCTGAGCCTAGATTTAAGCTTAAATGCACTGCAGTCAATGCATTTAAGATACAGTGGGAGTTAAGGTAACCTCTAAGTGCGTATTGTCCTGCACAGGGACATTCGTGTGACAGCAGAGGTGCCTTCCTCACCTACGGCCCCAGCTCAGGGCTGGGGTGCAGTTGGGAGGAATACATTGACATTTGGACCATGGGATTAATTTCTAGAATACAACGTAGTAAATCAAAACTTATAAGCTGTGTTCTAAATAGTGTCTAAGCAGAAGTCAGCCTTACTTTCCATTTTGTAACACAACTAATCCTCCCTTCTCACCAGAGTGGCTTGCTTACTGCATTTTACTGTTTACTTGGAAGAGTCTGAAAATCCAGCTAAGGGAGAAACCGCAGTTAAAGGAAGTTAACATTGTAGACCATTAAACAATGAAGGCATCACCATGAGCAGCAATACATACAGTCTTTAGTCTTCTGTATGAGGACAAGAGAACCAAGAGCTTCCCATTTCCTGAAAACCATTAAATAACTGCAACAGGATGGGACTGAATTTAAAATCAGGCTACAAAAAGGAACAGAAGTACTTCATATTTACAACAGACATTTTTCATTGTGGTTCCAGGATTTTCCTTTCGCAAACAAAAAGACAATCAGATTGTGCAACAACAGAACGCTGGAACAAATATTTTAAATGTCTGCAGCTCCCACTGACAAAAACAATTTTGTACTAAGGGTTAGCAAATAATGACACGTTATGAAGCTT